TGCAATTCATGACGTCATGAAAATGGCAAGTATAGTCGCATGCGGCTTTGCGCGAAACGTCCCGCTTATAAGCACTGGGTTTCTTCAGGTTCTTTACAACTCATCGAAGCCCATCGGTCTACTCCGGGTGACCGTGAGTTTGACCACAAACGAAGGCTTTCACGTAAAGAAATCGGGCAAAGCTTGCGTAAGGAACCGAAAAACCTGGTGGTCGAAGCGTGCTAATGAGCTGGAAGCAGCAGCTGCATCTGGTAACTTCCGGAAGCTCTTCCAACTCATCCGAGCCACTGGCAGCAAGAAGTCTGGTGTGAGCAAAACAATCTGCGAGGATGATGGGATGCAAATCACTAACATCCATCGACGTCTTGGACGATGAGCAGAATCCTTCGAAGTGCAGTTCAACTGGCCTGCTGCTCGCGCAACATCGGTCAGACTGTTCTGCCCTCCATGGCCGGTGACGACTGATCCACCAGATAAGGCGGAAGTCCACAAGAACTCAATTTTTGAAGCGCTACAAATCACCGGGCCCAGATGACTTACCTCCGGCCATTTTTAAAGATGGTGGTGACTTTCTGGCTAAGGAACTGATTGTGTTGTTTACAAAGGTCTGGGAGCTAGAGAGTGTTCCAACGTCATGGAATGAGTCGATAGTTGTCCCTATCTTTAAAAAGGGTTCACGTCGTTCCTTTAACAACTATCGGGGATAAGTTACTTCCGATTGCGTCCAAGCTATTGGCTTCCGTCATGCTTCGTAGGTTGTTCAAAACCCGAGAAAGATTGACTCGCGAGGAGCAGGCTGGTTTCGTTCTGGTCGAGGATGTATTGATCATATCTTCACCCTCCGCCAAATGTTAGAACACCGCCATACTTTTCAAAGGCCAACAATCGTAGTGTTTCTTGACATCAGGGCTGCCTTCGATTCGTTGGACAGGACTGTTTTCTGGGATTGTCTATTGAAGAGGGGTGTGCCTGAGAGATTTTTCGACATCTTAAAGGCATTGTATATAAACATCTCAGGTAGAGTGAGGGCATACAACCATCTTTCTCAATTGTTCCATTCAAGCAGTGGGCTTAGACGGGGTTGCCCGACCCCACCATTCCACTTCAACGTTGCTACCGATGACGTTCTAGAAACAACTCTGATGGATGTAGGTAGTGGCGGCGTGAATCTGTTGCCTGGAGAAAGACTTCCCGACCTTGAGTATGCGGATGATATTGTCTTACTGTGCGATAATGCCCAAGCCATGCAATCCGCACTTAACCAGTTGGCAATCAGTTTCCGTAGGTACGGTATGTGCTTTGCACCTTCGAAGTGCAAAGTACTTCTACAAGACTGACAGGATTCTAATCCTGTACTCACCCTGGATGGTGAGCAGATAGAAGTAGTTGAGAAGTTCGTGTATCTAGGTAGCTGCATAAGTGCTGGTGGTGGCCTGACTGATGAGATCAATGCACTTATAGTGAAAGCCAGAGCGGCTTATGCCAATCTGGGCCATCTTTGGCGCTTTCGTGATGTCAGTCTGACTGTTAAAGGTCGAATCTACAACGCGTCGGTGAGAGCAGTTCTGCTTTATGCTTGTGAAACCTGGCCTCTCCAAGTTGAGGACGTTAGACAACTCTCTGTGTTCGATCATCGTTGTTTCCGAAGGATTGCTGACATCCAGTGGCAACACCATGTCAGTAATGCAGAGGTTCGGTATCGTGTGTTCGGGCGCAGAGACGATAATGCAACTTGTGTCACCATCTTGAAACACCGACTTCGGTGGCTTGGACATGTTCTCCGAATGTCGTCCCAGAGAATTCCATGTCGTGCATTATTTGCCGACTCTGGGACTGGTTGGAAGAAGCGGAGAGGTGGTCAGTGCATGACATGGTGTCGTGGTATGAAAGATAGCTGCAAAGAGCTGGCTTGTGTTGGTCCTTCACGACTCCCTGGTTGGGGTCTGAGAGATGGTGCTACACAGTGGCTAGAGACGTTATCAGATATGGCTCAGAATAGAAGCCAATGGCGATCCTGCTGTAACCTTCTTTTACTTTCTTCATGAAAATGCGGTTATATCTTCCTTAACTGAAAGATTTCTTCTGGTTGTACCTTTTCGTCTCCTCCATTATTATTATGATTATTACACTACCTTACAATAGTCTGGTCGTTATTGTTCTTTGTTTTTACGCTCCTTACCTCCCTTTTTTTCTCTTCCCATTCTCATTGTTTTTCGTGGCGCATATATATTTGGTGCCCTCTTGTACCAATGTTTAGCTGTTCAAATAAAATAAAATAAGTACTCTAGACTGCTCGCACCGGGTTTTACGTGTCATTGGTCCGATCGATAATTCACTACTCTCCAATTGGCGATATCATTACGTTATACATTAACAGGGCACACAGGCTACAAGTTATAACAATAAGTTTATAATTTTTTCTGTTCGGGTTAAATTTTGCTCGCATTGTTCAGAAGACTGTATTTATAGATATTATAAATGGCTGGTTTGTCATCAATTGACTTCGATTTGATTACAAAATCCTCAAAGAGAAACGTCTGTGGAACGTGAGATATTTCATGCTATTAGTTCCCTTTATGAATTTAAATAGAGCCAGAACAAATATAGATGCAGAGTAATATGAATTCATTATATTTCGTGGTTATCAATAATGACATATATATATATATATATATATATATATATATATATATATATATATATATATATATATATATAAATTTCCAGCTCTTACCACTCAAAACCATTTGTACCTTTTGGTCTGAATATAATTTACTACTTGGCTTATCCTTATTTGTAACCTAAAGTCATCTATAAATGTCGTTCTATTCGAAAGTTTATTCTTTCCCACAGTTTCCAGTTATGCCCATTCTTTGCGATGTTATAGTTGCAGTCAGTTGATTATATACATAGACCAGGAGGTATCCTTGTATATCCTAATTATTCGTTTTTATCAACTATGCACATCGTAGACATTGATGTGTTCTTTACATCTATTTCTAAACAGATAACTCATACTAATTTTGTGGCACTAAAGTAATATTATTGTTCAGGTGGCCAGTTTACTTGTTGCTGATAAAAAATGCATTCGATGTGTTAGCGGGACTGAGCAACTGAGGTCAAATTTAAGTAGTTTCGAAAACGAGGCTGACCCAGATGTTGCTCTGAAAGATACACGAACAGCCGTGGAAACAGCAGTGACATCTATTAGTGATTTGAGCCAACGCGTTACGAAAAGCCAATGGATTTTTACTAATGAGCTTTGGGTTGTGGAGATCAAGTTTTTGATTGAGATCATGGACCGATTGATGTTAGACCACCATTGAAAACCTGGAAGCACGGCCGTTTCGTGCTATTGTGGGACTCCTCCGCAGTGCGCACCCACAATCCCGCTCGCGGGATTCGAACCCAGGGCCTTCGGTCTCGCACTTAAAATTGCTTTATAACTTTCTACAAATTAATTCTTTCTTCCCGTACTATATCCTTATACACAATCTTTCTTTTATGCATTACTACCATTGAAGTGACTAATTTTGGTGTTCATCTTGCGCTAATGAGGTATGGCAACTCGGACCGATGTATATATGTGCCTGGCCCTACGTTGTAGCTGATTGACCAACACACGTCTACTCTGCAAGTCTGATCAGATGTCTAATGTTAGCTATCGCTGCTGCCTTTTCCATCTCTTCTGCTTTTGCTACCCACCACTGCTCAAGATAATTACATAAACTTTTTATCAGCCTACATATAAGCTACCTTCTCTCCCTATTGTGTTCGGAGCCAGAATTGATGAATTTCCGAACATCTCTCAGTTCTGTAGACTGAAATGAAATCCACTGGTTTTCTGTAATCTTTTGGTTTAAGTTACTAGTAGGTATCACTGCTCTTTCCACAGTTGTTTGAATATCATGCCAAACTACCTCAAGTTGGATATCACTCACGGTTGACTAATTCATACATCAACTTAAATACAGAAATTATGGAATACTTGTATCTGTTTACTATCAAGAGAATAGGCACAGACTCCTGTCAGTTTCGTAAAACTACCTTAAACTCCAAAAGTTTCTAAATAAACGCACATAGATCAAACCAAGATATATTAACAGTTCACGGAGTCATTGACTATTCTATTATTATTATTATTATTATTATTATTATTATTATTATTATTATTTAGACATAAATATTGGTACAAGGAGACACTGAATATATACACGCTACGCTTCATCATTCGATTTGAGTGAGATGCAGCTAGCCGGTGACCAACAATAGGTTCGTACAACATTCGTTCCCTCAGGACCCTGAAGCCCATGTGCACCGATGGTTTAGAATCAGGGTTTTCCAAATCCCCTAGGTGGACCCTTCGTGTCCACCAACCCGGTAGTGTCAGACATTTACCTTTCGTCCTCTCAATTTCGTAAACAACACCCCGTCGCGAGAAGGCAGTGAGTACGCCTTCTCTGTCAGTGGCTGTATACGCGTAGTCATGTGAGATCATTTTGAGAGGGAGAGCGGGCTCTTCCCAACTTCGACCATATAAGGGCATTGGGGATTCATGGAAAATCTGTTGGCTTTTACAATCTGATAAAATATGTATTGCTTCTTGTATCAAGTATTAACATCCCTCAAATATACTATCGCTTGAAATTTTAGGTACTAATAACAAAGTGATTTCGATCTTTGAAGCCTAAACCAGGTGGTCGAGTTTTTCAGTTGTATATCAAACAGCCTTGTAAAATTCTTGTAATGCTGCACAACTTCTTTACCCCTTCTTTTTCATGGTTGGTTTGGTATTCATTGTATTTTATACTACCGACCTGTAATTAGAGAATAAAATTTCTTGCAAGCATATGTTCTATGTATGATTATTTAGTCAATTAATTTCATTGGACGATCATTGGTAATTAATGCTAGTATAAACATGAGTAATTTTATGTTTTTCAGTAATATTGGCCTTTATTCTATCTTTTGTTTCCATGCTTCTATGTTGTTTGTAATAGGGAAATTATCTGGATAAAACTGGAACATGTCTTGTAAGAATAGCTACCCACACTCTCGACTCTCTAAACCGTTCAGCAAGCCAAACACTTGGTTCTACTACTGAATCCCAGAACAACTCATCCTATTTGAATAAATCAAAGAAATCAGAAGATTACACTGAAATAACTGACGACCCATCGAAGCCAATCAATTCTACGGGTTTGGTCTCTTTAAATTCCACGATAAATCTCGTAAAAGACCAGACTAATTACACACTATCAGATTCATCGGCGAATATTTTGATTGATGATACATCAAGAGTGGAAGTCCCGTCGACACTTCATACTTCTCACTCTCCGTGCGAAGCTGATCAGTTGTGTACAGAACAATCCCCATCTCCTAAAATTAGTGATCTCACCTTTGGATCGTCGGGTTATGATACGAACTCAGCTCAAACTCGGCGAATCCCCGATCCAGCATTGTCCCAAATCTTTCATTCTGTGGCTCTCTTTCACACTTACCAGAATACATGCGAGCCCGACAAGGGAGTGGATAACGAAGGTGGTGGCCTTTTTGACGACTGGGTTGATGCACCGAAGCTTTCGGAATCACCAGTTATGTCTGTTCCTACAGTACCAAATAAATCTATCCCCCTTGGATGTACTTCTCAGACCCCTTGCATTTCATCTACATCAGCAGCCATCAAGGAAAAGTTATGTGTCTGTGCTGATAATGAAACAATGGGGAGTTTTTCTCGTAGTCCTTTGTCTACGCTTGCGATTAGCTCATGCCCAACCACTTCAGGTAAAAACATCCCTGTTTCGTTTGACAATGCTACCTCTGCAGTGAGTATATCCGCTTCAGCAGTGGCAGCATCTCTCTCAATATCCAAGGTTAATACACCATCACCTACGAGATTGTTTGACTCACTTGATGAAACTCTAACTACCAACCTGTCTACTTGTAGTGCCTTGGAAGAACAGGTGAACTGTACCCCTCATGGACTGGCTGCGTATCTACCCCGTTGTAATAATCAGAGAATTAATTCCGCACATCCATCTGTATTTTCAAATGAAGATGTTCCTGCAACTTTTGCAAACTCAGTGTCTCCGAGACCAGCTTTGTCCCCGGCTATTGATTGCATTGATCTAAATTCTGTCAGTCCGTTAGAAATGACTGTTCGAACTTCCGGTTCGTTGAAAACCATCGGCTTCTCCGGTAACGGCCCAACGACTTACTCAAAGCCAAAACAAAATGGTCGTGGTCGTTTTTCATCTGGAAAGCACAGAGGTGGAGGTAAAATACATTTCCATGTTTTAACAGTATAGTCTTAATTTAAGTCCTTATATATATATATGTCAGCCTTCGTGATTTTTTTAAAGGATTTACATATAATTGGTGAGGTTAGTAATATTCTATCACTGTTTTTCTAGAACTCTTACCGAAGGATCCGTATCACATGTATTCGCTAACCACTATTGTATACGTAAATATCCACTTGATAGTTCGAAATATCTGACTCTAAATAACTGTGAGTCGAGGAAATTAGTCAGTTTAGCTTGAACAATCGTAGTCATTTTGTAGTTTCTTCCTAAATCAGAATCATAAAAGTAGTCATGTTCTATTTTTCGATATTACTTTTGTTATTAACGCAATGTAGAATTGCTATGGTTTTCTTTTGCTTGACTGTTTCCAAAAGTACTTTTACTGTTTGTATCAATTCTCAGGTCGCCGTAGACGAACTGAACTTGAAGAACTTAAGAGGTGGAGTGTCTTAGATCACGCAAATCCTGGTTTCGAACAAAAAAATGAGGATCTTTGCGAAGTCCGCTATTCGCCTCAAAACTCGATTACCGGTCGGGATCCTGGGACTACGTTTGCTATATCAGAAGCTTCGGTTCAGACTGCTGTTTCAAAAAAGGATATTTCAAACTTAAATTTCTCGGATGTATGCCACCAGTATGGTGGTTTTACAGAAGCTCTTGTAGAACGTGTCAAGCGGCGTCGACAACAGCGTGAAATGGAATCTAAAGGCTTTAAAGCATCACCAAATAAAGAGACACTCAGGAGTTCCTGTGAAGTTTCCCCTCTCTCTACCCCATCTCCAGGACAGAGTCATCTCAAAGTCACTTCACCTCTTAGAATGCATAAGTCAGCCAGTTTACTAAAACGTGAAAATAAAAAAGGTACTCAACGCACAACATTCAAAACAGAACGTGAGAGCCAACGAAAAGGAGGTAGCATTAGTGCAGCTGTAAATGACTATACCAAACTAATCCAATCAACTGACAGTGATTGTTCGCTGTCTCCTACTAGCACAGTTTTATCATCTGTTCAGTCTAATTCACCATCCATGAGTAGTGTCCCACCTATTAACAGTTTGCAGCCTAGCCCTCCTGTTTTATCATATCAGAAAATCGACTCAACTAGTAACTGCCATACACACGACACGACTGTGTACGACAGAACATCGAGATCGTTTGTTCCGTGTAACGTCAAGAGTCCCAACATGGCATCTAATTCCAACGATGGTGTTGCTTTAGTCTCTACTTTGTCCACTCAGGCAAATGATAAGGACTCTGATTTCTCAGATGCAAAGAAAGCTCATGCTACATCACAATTGGAAGATACAAAGTCGTCGTTGACCTGTAATTACCGAGATCCAGTCACTGTGCAGGTATGTTTATTTAGCGTCCTTTTGGTATAATGAGTCAAGTCCATCATTTATTTTTATATCCAACAAGAGTAAATCCCGTCACTGTATTGACTGCTCTTATTATAAGTATAGCGCTCAGTAAGGTCACGGCCACACAATTTGTTAGAAAGTGGGCTTCACTGTACACTTATGCATGAGCCATTTCTAAATAAATTTTCAGATAATCTTCCTGGAACGTCTAATGACCAAAAATATTTAATTACAAATTCTTTCCGCATCTTGACCCTGTACTTCCACAAACAAGTCAACACGTTTACACATTTTTCTATTTGTTAGTGACTTTTCTCTGAAAATCTCTTCATAATCTGTATAACTGATTCATAGGCTATTCAAGTATGAGTCACTGACAAATGTATGTTCAAGATCTTTAAACGGTTAAAGTTTTATCGTCTTCATATTTCGCTATCTTATAGCAGGGATTAGCTGTGTGATTCATCTTTTAAGAGTTTGATTTATTTGAAATGGTGCTTTTAAGAGACATTAATGCATATCTATGTATTTGCTTGGTATAGGTCATGTGCATGAACATATATGAGTTTTTTCCCTTATGTATTGTAGTGAATTGTTTGATGTCTTCCAAGAACATAGATCATTGGTCTTTTGTTCTCCTGTACTCCAATCATATACATTTTATAACGGAAAAATGTGTGGTATAATAGGGTAACGAGGATTTTGCCACAAAATAAAGACATGTTATGATGTGATAAGATGGGGAAACTATATCGTGATGGCAACAATAAAGACGGCTTAAATAGGTTCCATATCAAACGCGTATCTTACTGTTTATGAAAAACAGCGTCATTAGTTACTATTTCGGATCATGTGTTATAATGTTTCAAACTACCGGGCTGCATAATTTCTGATTCTTTATTCGGTGGTTTGTAGTGAAATAACATGATTTGATAATGATATCCTTCATTCTGAAAGCTTTTGTCCACATTTTACATTTACTTTCGCTACGAATTAATGCTTTGCTTAGAAGCTATTGAGAGGACATGTGTAAAATAAGTCTTGCTTTCCATGAAGTTGCGTCAATTTTAGGGAACTGTAACTTAACGGACTTATCACAGCAGATGCGAACTCCGGTCTGCCTACTTTGGTTTGACTAACCGTACGGTTATTTATTTATTTGGACACATGAATATTGGTACAAGAGAGCGCCAATATATATGCGCCACACAAAACAATGAAAATTCGAGAGGAATACAAAGAAAGAAAAAAAAAGCTAAGGAGCGCAACAAAAAAAGAGAGAACATTAACGAAGAGATTGGTGTAAGGTAATGTGCTAGTAATCAGGGAACGCAAAGGTACAATCAGAAGAAATCTTTCAGGTAAGGGAGACACAACCACTTTTTATGAAGAAAGTAAAAGAAGGTTACAGCAGGATCGCCATTGGCTTCTATTCTGAGCCATATCTAATAACGTCTCTAGCCACTGTGTAGCACCATCTCTCAGACCCCAACCAGGGAGTCGTGAAGGACCAACACAAGTCAGTCCTTTGCAGCTTTCTTTCATGCCACGACACCATGTCATGCACTGACCACCTCTCGGCTTTTTCCAACCAGTCCCAGAGTCGGCAAATAATGCACGACATGGAATTCTCTGGGACGGCATTCGGAGAACATGTTCTCCGAACCGTACGGTAACCCTAACGTTCAGACTATGTGGCTCAAAATCAATTTTAAAAATGTATACCTGGCAAATTTGTTGCACATGTGAAATGATAACACATATGCAGCTATGGTCTTCAGTACAATCATACTATCGAATTCCGACATAGTTTGTACAATGTTGTCACTGTGTATTGGTTACTGTGCGAAATAAATATGGAATGATTAGGAGAATTGTTTCGGAGTAAGGAGGGGACTTCTCCAAAATATGTTTTATAGAAGAGGTGGCTCATATGTTTCTTTGGTGCATGACCATTGATTCACTATTACTAGCAGTTTTACATCCTGATCTTCACAGGATAGCAAGAAGTACAAATATTTAATTAGTTAATTGAAAACATAACATTGTTTGTATCTGCTTATCATTGTATCATTGATGCTTTATTATGAAATCTGGTGAAGAATACCCGAATATCATGTGACTTTGGATATCAGACTGTGATTTGTTTAGAAGGTATTAAGGGATATTGCTTCTCACCTAAATTGTTTGATATTAATTCTCTGTGATAACCAGCTACTGAATATTCTTGAGAGACCTTCAAAGTCGCTTCTTATATTGTTTGTTGGTAATTAGAAATCTAAAGGTAAAATGACATGAGCTTCAGTGCGCTGGTGTTATTATAAGATACGTTTTGTAATACTACTTATTGTAATCGGTCACAAAGTCCTGAAGATAATTTTCTGTTTTTGCCTTTGTGGTTGGGAGTGGCATCCAGGATGTGCGTTTTGTTTTGGACTCATCAGTCGGATGTTCCTACACCTGAAATTCATAAAAATTATAATCCAATACCCATCGATTCAAACAGCATCACGTTATCCACTAAACCATTGTGCCATGGTATCCACTAACCCTTTAATGTTAATGGTAGATATTTTTCTTTCTAAGTTTTCGTAATCACGTGTTGTGGACATCCAGGACTGCACTTAATCATTCTCTATTACCATATAGGATCTTCAGACAGATATCTCGATACTACTAAGATTTGCAAAGACTTCATATCTATCTTTCTACGAACCAATCGCTTCTTCTTGTACTATATCTCTATATGCAATCTTCCTCTTATTTATTACCACCTTTGATCTAACCACTGCTATGAATCCGGTGTTCATCTTGTTGTGCTGATGCGGTATGGCAACCTGGACCGATGCACATATGTGCCTGGTCCTACGTTGTAGCTGACTGACTGACTGACTGCAAAGACTTGATAAAAATCCGTATGTGTTATCAACATCGATTCATCCTCCCGGGATATACACATGCAAATGGAGACTGAGCAAATTTCTGCCAATCGGCAAGCGAAGTCTGTAAAAAATGGATAACTTATTTGACCGTTTCGAGTTTTCATCCTTATTTTGCTTTGTGATACTGATAATATGATTATTTATCATTTATGAATTAAAGCAAATATCATGGTAATAAATAGGTGTCATTATTTCCCAGTATTCTTCTTATTTGTTTACATTTCCCAACAGCTCTTTTAACACCAACTTTTTAAATATATTCGATTAAAAATTTCTCAGCATTTTATTAAATAATTGGTGCTGATTTTAGTATCTTCTTTATATTATTGGGTCACCATCTCAGCAGTCTATCAGTCGTCAAATAATTCAACATTCTTCAGCGTCAAAAATTGAAACCTCCTGCCATTTTATCGTTTATATTGGATTCAGTGTATTATGATGATATAAAATATAATCCATACTTAGTAGTATCATTATTAGTAAGGTATCAATTATTTTCCTGTTATCAAAGACTTATAGATTGTCTTTTACGAAACAGTTATTGTTCTTGTTAACTTCTATGGTTATGTTTGAGATTTTTTTCTGACTTAAGGGATCTGGTGTATAATAACATAAACTTAACTGATATCCTTATATCCACATAATAATAGTAGATTACTTATTATTTTATATAGATAGCTTAATGCACCGTAATAACCAATAAGTCCACCAAAAAAATTGATGTCATATTTACCTATAGAATTCAACACCTAATTGAGGATTTGTTTGTGTATCACACGATTGTATTTTGTACTATGGTTTCGTATTTTAACAAATCTACGATTTTAGTTTTAGTACTATCTATTACTTTGTTAAGTGGATTTGTATTCCTTGTAGTTTTCTATCGAGCTATAACAGTTGGTAACTTTAGCTAATGCAGTTAAGCGTCGTTCAGATCATTTCTTTCTTGCGACATACTTCGCTTCCGTGTGGAGCTCATTATCGAATACACAAATTGATACTCAATCGCATTATTATTCTGTTATTTTTTAATACCAAACATTTTTATTTCAGTTAGTTTTTTGCATATTTTCAGTTGTACTTTCATTGACTTTTATCTATAAGGTTTTCGGTTATTATTGTATGTGAATATATTTTAGTCTTTCAGATCTCGTTCAATTCATGGATCTTGTGCTCGGTCAAATAATTCATCTCTACATTTGCCACCTCTCTTACCCTTGAGTCGCTGCTCTCCTAGTTTACTTCATAAACCATTGTCTGTTGATGCGTTAGAAAGTGCTAGATGTCAGGACCACGTTGGTAAGTAACATGGTTGTTACAATTCAGTTGGTGGAAAATTCATTTGTCACTTTAAAAATCCTAGCATTTTTAATTAGTTTGAGACTCAATCATTAAAATTTTTTAAGTAAAGTATATTTGCAACTGTTTACTTTGACGGGCTACAATTTTTTAAAGCATTCATATTGGTTCAACTACTTGTTTAAGACCACAATTAAGTGAAACGTGTAATGATATTTCAATATCTGTTTTACAATAATTCAACTAAAAAACAGTTTAGCAAAAACTATAAAGTTTTCCTAGGTTGCTTTGTGTATTACGTTTTATATTATCTCTGATCGTAAGTCGATTCAAAATATCACTCATCCCTTATTCACTTGAGCTTTTTTCATAAAGTGTTTCTACTACTTTGATAAACTATGAACGTTGCCATTTTGGTTTGTCATATCTAAATTATCATGTAAGTGGATATAACCGAATTTGATTTTTGTATATTGTTTTGATAATATCGTTGATGTGTATGGCTTTTGTACTGATTGTCATTTCCTTTTCTTGCCCAACCATTATTACTGACAATGCTAGTCAAAAAAGTAGCTTCTACCTGCCGTTAATATCTCGTTGTTTTGACTAAGCGGACGCTTTTAGTTCAACATTACTCTTGTTTATGCCTTAGTTCTCATTCCCGGTACTTTAAGAAAAACAGGTTTAGATATCCATTACAGTAGAGGGAAAAATAATCGATTATAGAAAAAAATAGTGGAATTCTTGGACATTCTAACTAAATATATACCCAAAATCTGTGTTGTAAAGTTCATTTGATTTTCATGCAGAATCCGTTAGACGTGTGTGAGAGTTTCAGATGTTCGAATTTATCCATACTAGAAACGATTTTCGAGCTGAATAGGAACAATCCTCTAATTAATACCATAGACACTTTACGCAGAAGAGAATAAGGATGTTCGCAAAATACTTTATACTGTGTTGGAAAAAGAAGAATAAGTATTTAAATATGTAGCAAATGATTTTGCGAATCAAATAATATGACAAATTAAAAGCACTGAAAGGGATAAAACTAAATCTAATAGACATATATATGGAATAGAGACTTTCTAATACACACTTTACCCCCCATTTACGTTAATATTTGTACAAGGTATATGAAGTAAATCTTTTAAAGAAATATAACGGAACTATTTATATTTTATTTATCTTGTAGACTCAGGTTAAAATACAAATTCTATTGACAAGTGATTTATAAAACAGATACACCAATGGCTTGGAATAATAGTATTATTACGATAAATTTTGACTTGTGTTCGTGTGACTAGAATAACTAATTGTTGACAGGTGAAAATCTATATATGTGTGTAGTTGCTGGATCTCCATTCCATTACTTATGTGATACTTGAAGTTCCATCATTGCACTATGTTTTTCTCAAATATGCTTAAGTCTAAAAATGTTATAGTTTCGGACCCGCCCCACCTGATTTGGCTTGAGCGACTAGGTATTAATGTAAAAAATCAAGGTGATTTAAATTAAATAAACAAATTTAAATGTAATAAAGCAAGAAGTAATGTTAATAAGTAGCAAAGCTGTTAAATTAAGCTTTGAAACTTTTCCCACGTTCATGAAAAGTAGACGAACATACCCAAGTTTTTAATGAAAGTGAAAATACTGCTTATTTAGCATCTAGCAAAACTAAAAAGCTATCGCGAAAAATTCCGTTTTCCTTAGCACTGTTTAGTTTATTGATGTAGATACTTAATGAAATTAGACCACACTCTCTCAATGTTACAAATCATCTTCAGTTAGCAACAAAATTGTAGGGTCGAGAAATTAAATCTTGTAAACAATTGTTTATTTGTATTTCAGATCTCATATTCGCTTTTGATTATTTGAAGGATTCCACGAATCTTTTCAGTGCTTGCTATGTACTTGGTATTATTTCATTCCTGTTCATTATAATAATTAGTACTAATAGCAATAAATCTCTATCATCCAGTAACAAATCTTCTAAGCCTCGTGTTTGGTTTGTTTCATGTTCTCATCCGTTATTCTTTTCGTTGATTGTTCGAAATAATTTGGATATTTTTTCCTGGAACGTTTAATCATTTTTTATTTTGGTTCAGTTTATGTATCTTGGTCAATCCTCTATTTAAATTGCAGTAGGTAATCAATTGTTTATTTATGCCGTACCTGATTTATCTATTCTTTACAAACTTTTGGTAAATGTACTTTATATATGAACTATCCCCTAGATAAACGGAGTTAATTCAATATGTTCGTTTGCTTACAGATTCTCTTGTAATTCAGAATTTTTTTCATCCACTTATTTAATTATTAAAAAAATAATCTACTGAGAAAAGGTACGTTAATGGGTATATGAATAATCGAAATACTAAACATAGCCTAAGTTTAGACATTTTTTACATTGTTTGTTCTGTTTTATTTAATATATCACAAAGATTAATCTTCAGAACAATATGAATTATTGTTAGTGAAACTAGTTTACTCTCATCTTTATTTTTACTCTACAGAATGTAGTATGAAAGATATGCCTTCACCACAACCGTGTTCTACACATCATACGTATTTGAATACAAAAGCAACTAAGAAGCCTGTCGTGTCACTTACTGATCTGTCTTTCGGTCATCTCACTGTTGATGTTTCCTCAAACTCAAACATTTGTTCGTCTGAGCCGAGTCATAGTGTTTTAGATAAGATTTCTAACACAAAACCTGAAACAATGAATTCTCATTTATGTAAACAATTCGATATTTGTCCAACCCAAGTAATGGATGGTCAAAATGTACCGTCAAATCAAAGTGAACACAAAATTTCTGATATGAGTGAATCCAGCAATAGTAGCATAGCAAGTTCGTCTCCAAGATTGTTTTCAGGAATAGATACTGCGTGTGGTTCTGATCACAGGTGTCGTACACCAAGTACAATAGCCTATACCCACAGCTCTGCCATGGAAGATAATGATGACGATTCCCCTGACGTCAACTGCCGTCGACATGATACAAATCTCGATGTTGGTTCTGATTCTGACTCTTCAGAAATCAAATCTTGTTCTGCTTCCACAGATCTTGATGCACCGAAAGCAAACGAATTCGGTTCCTTCTCACCGTCTTCGTTATCTTCTATCACTGATGATGTAGCTACTATTTTTTCTGATGAGCATGAATTTGAACACTCTCGTCAGTCAGATTACTCTACATCAACTGTTCTCCATCAATTTACAAACCGTCTAAGCAAAATTTTACGACGTGTTGAAGAACTTGATTTGCTCCAGTTAGCAGCCGTTGTTCAGAGCAAACTTGGTACTATCTGCAAAAGGAGTTTCTCTGATCAAGAGGATAGCGATGAGTCCTGTGCGCGCAATAATGTTTCATCGACTTTTCCCGATTCAGCTCGTCTTACTAAACAAGAAATCATGTCGTTATGCTCCGATTCAGCTAAAATCCGATTTGCTGGGTCCATGTCAACGATACCAACAGGTCGTTTGGTTCGATTTCTAACTTTACTGTTGGTAAATATGCAAGAAGCTGCTTCCGTTTCTCCAAATATTTCAAATATTGTAAGTTAGTTTCCATCCACATTCTTGTCGTTTTCATTCCATTATATGTTAAATCGTTGAATACTGTTGTCTAAAGCTAGATGCAATGATTTTGTTGTATTGTTTCAACAACCACCTTTTTTCACCTCTTCCCATATCTTTTGAGATAGGGTTCATTCACTGTTCACTCGATCATTGCTGGGCATCAAAACTTACCTCAGTCGGCTTAATTTCAGCACATGATCACAATAGACAGTATAAATCAATTAATTACATCATGGATATTTTTGCTCTTAAACCTTTTTTGGTTGATAAACTTTAGGTAAACTGAAAATTTGTTAATCCATATTTTCTTATTGATTCATAAATCTGAAAATTTAGATTACCGCTCTTTGTGTTATCTTAAATGAAGTGAATAATATTCAAACAACTTGAAATTTCTTCATAGCTCACGTACAGATCTTTCTATCCTCATTCATCAATGTAAAATATTTTTCAAAATTTTACATTAACGCAACTATTAGACAATGTGGTGACTGTTTTTAATGCATCCTCTTCAGTTTTAAACGTGACTGGCAAAGTGATTTTTCATTCAGAAAAATAAAAACCTTTTGAAGGTGGCTGTTAATAGTCGTTCTCTCATGTTGATTCTTAAAATAATTAATAGTATTAGTTTGTTTGAAATAATTTTGTCCTATTCTACTTGATATTAAAAGTCCCTGGTAAGTCCAGCAATTACTTGTGTAAGTTTTTAGATACGTTAATCGGATATCCCATTTCCTTTCATTATCAAATGCAAAATTACCGAAATACCGACTAAGATCAAGAACAATTTATTTTAGAAAAAAGAATTATGTTGTAACAAGGTCATTACAGCCCATGTTTACATATAAAATACCTCTTCCTGTCTTTATTTATTCATTAGCTGGGTGTCAAATAAATGCCTTCACAATAAAAAGTTATTTTCCAAATGATCTGCTTTGGATATCGTCAAATAATAATGTATATCAGTGAAGTTAAGACTGTTTTTGCGATTTCTGATAATCAATACTTTTCAAGGGAAACAGTTCCATTAAGTTGTGGTTTTTTATTCTTCGAATTATGCGAGTATAATTGTTACGATTTCAGCTTGTTACTGAACACTTCGTGGTTATTTAAATCTAGGTTGAAACACATCGAATTTCTAAGAAACGCTATAAGTATAATGGGGAACAACTTGAAATCAGTGATAATTCTTCTACTCGGAATGGCTATTTTACAGAAACAGTCTTATGGTCTGATCCAGAATGGTCCTCCTCTCTCATTGGTTTAGATTGCGCCCGTACAGCTTTAAATATTATTGTTGGACCAGATATGCCACGACCTTTACTCATGGAGGATTTGATCGAAGGTATTGTATCTGTAGTAAAACAGCAACTAGATTGTCTCATTCATAATATTATGAGTAAGTCCCATGTTTTTCATGTTTTCCTTGTTCCTTCATTGTTTTTTACGCTGTGTCCTGAATTCACAAATCATCTTTATTCATATTGTAAGAACTTTCATCCTTAAACACCCATTCTAATACCTACTCTAAGTGTTCTCTAAACGTTAAAATCTATGGCTGTTCTAGGATATAAACTGATTCACAATAACTCAACATTATTTCCCTGTCTGTCCGTCTGTCTATCTATCTACCTACCTATCTATCTGTTTGTCTCTATCTACCTGGTTGTGCTGATTTCATTTCAAGTATTTTTCAGCACTGTTTTAGGTTTTGTGTAGAAACACAACAAAAATTCTTGTAGTTCTCCATTCCATTGTGCTTAATTTTCTTGAGGATTTATATTTTTAATTTATTATGATTATATCGTAACCGCCGTTAATTCAGTCGCCTAATTAATCGTATAAAACTTATTAAATTTATGTCTTTCATTGCAGGAGTTACTTCTCATACACCTCATTATCAAAGCTCAGCTGTGTCACCAAGTTTTTCTATACTGGGTCATGTTGGTTATCGAATAACACAAATTATGATTCTACTAGTCAATCTTATGCGATTACAGCCCAATCGTTTTACAGATAATTTAGTAATTAATCTTACTTCACTCGGGATGGCAATTCCTTCTTATTCTTTGACATCAGGAACCAGCATAACGAATGAATGGAAACGATTTTTGCTCTCTCCACAGAAACTACTCAACTTCATAAGTCATACTGAAAATTCTTCGGAATTCATGGGTTCTTCAGCAAAAACGCTTGGTACTTTGTTTATGGTCAGTTGGCCAGAGCACCTACAACGCTCAAGTCTTGCACTTTTAGGCACTCTTTATGGACAGTATGAAGCTCACAGGAAGATGATTGTTGATGAAATATTTCGTACGTTTTTATCAGGTCTTGATGTCAAGCGAAAATCTACACCCAGTGTCAGTACAGAAGCTGAAAAAATAATATACCCATCCGATAGGCGGACTGCTAAAACCTTCCGGTATGTTTCTTATGACTTTAACTGTTTATTTTATTATTTTGGAATGAAATACTAGCAATCTCCGTATTTTTTAATTTTCTGATGCTACTTGTTTCTTTAAACCCTGATAAATGGGTAGGTTTTAAACCATTTGGGTATTAATTTAAAGTGCATGAACAAGCGGGTCACATCTCTGTATCTTTTTTATGCGGAGAGACAAATATAATCAACATAGATGCTGGAATGGATGAGCATTGGTCCAAGTTACCATACTTGACTCAGGATGCTGTGTTCCCTTTAATAGAAGAGTTAATTGTTTTTTTTTTTACTACCTACTTGTAATACTACCATCATTTTCAGATGATTTCTCCCCACTATTTTTGTTAATTTTATTCGTGTTTATGCAATCTTCTCACCAAAATCTTTCTTAAATTGCAACGATCTTATAGCTTGTTGTCATCTTCATATTTTTATGAAGAATATTATGGCTCTAAAGCAAAATCCAATGTATCCCGTTCAATCCAAAGTGAATCTCCCCAATATTTGTACATCCATGCACTAAGTGCCCTCTTTCTTTGTATCACTCAAGGTTTAATTCACACACCGAATTTATCTTTTCTTGCAAACAACTGCTCTAACCCGTCCGTTCGCAAATTTCCTTCATCTGCTGTGTCTACTCCAACACAAAGTTCATTTGTTTCCGAAGCCGTTACAATAGATAACGCACAATTCAATAAAGATGAAAAACATGTATTGAGCAGTTATAGTACAGCTGTTAGACATGCACATTACCTGCTATCTGGTTTATTCAAAAGGTAGGTGAATAACTTAAAATAAATGCTTTTTGTTATTAATCAGATAAATCAATATTTATTGAAAAATAATATGGTCAACTCATATTTTCTGAGTAATATTTTTTTTCGATGCATTCAAATTTTCATAGAACCAGTGAAAATCACTCAGTGTCACTATGCTGGTAGTCATTTATTTACAGTCACACCTATCCTTGTCTTCAGATCTAAATTTTAAATTTAGAAGCTGTTAGGTATCAACGATTATCACAGCAATGTAAATGTATTTATTTTCTCTCTTTGGACTATCATTATCTTTTTGCTCTCCGTCTAATTCACCTTTTATCCGGTGACGTTGTTATTATTCCTTTTTCTGTCTTCGTAAATTTATCTGTTTTTGTACTACTGAAAAGCGTGACCCTCTGGAGCAATACATTATTCGCAGCTCTATTTCCTGTCTAGAGGAGCAACGTTAGGCGATGCAGTCCCATGGTAATAGGTGACCAATTGATTTGTATGCCGTTCGTTCCCTCAAGATCCCGGAGCTCCTGTACATCATTGGTTTGGAATCAGCATTTTTCAACTCCCCTAATTGGATCCTCCGTGTCCACCAACCCGTTTAAGGTATCGGAGATTCACCTTTCTTCCTCCCAGTGAGTATGCCTTCTCTGTCAGTGGCTGTATACACGTGGTCACGTGAGATCATTTCGAGAGGGAGAGCGGACTCTTCCCACCCTCGGCTGTACCAGGGCATTTTGGAGCTCTACAGTTAGAATATATATACATAGTTGGTAACAATAAGTATGAAAGCATTTCTGGTCTCTATCACCCACAGTTGACTGGAAGCTTAGAACATTTCATCGACGTCACTCAGTGAGATTTGATTAACGACAAAAGGAGACAGATACTAGACCAAAAGATAAATTCGTCCTGAACGTCTCGATGAGCTACTCCTAACCGATGTTTTCCAGATGGGGAGTGACCATTTTATAGCACGTTTGGAAGGAGAATTCGAACACTTTTCAGTACTGAATTGCTGCTAGAAAGGTTGGAGGACGAGTTGTATATATTCGTAGTTTACATGTTGGCGAGATCGATTTCATGAAATCTTACAGGGTTATCAGTCTAAGAGAACCAGATGCAATAAAACGGAGTGTTGGGAAGTTGTTTTATGGTGTGTTATGAATGTATAGAACCTAGAATGGTCAATTGAGTTGGACCGAGCTACGAAAAATCATGTTATAATGCGAGCGCGTATTTATATGCGTCTTAGTGGACGTAGGAACGACGCTGCAAGGAAACCTCTTAGGGTTATACTTAACGATAGCCAAGCTAGGAATATATTTCAGGAACAACTAGAAAAAACAGTTAGGTAGCCATGTAAGTGATGCCCACCCCGAGGCAGCGTGCAATGATATCCGAAAAGCTGTTCTGGACTCAACTGGCTGGGTTAGATAGGGAAGCGGGACCAATCAGAACCCTAGGCCGTTCTACGTGTTTGTGCGTCTTTGGTCCGATCAATAATTCGCTACCCCTTAATCCGTAGCATCATTTTCACAGTCATAACAGCTATGGAAACAACAATGATATCTGCCATTAAGGTAAACCATAAGGTTAGGGAGAAACGCTATCTCAGCAGCATCTACCTCACTCATAGATGCTCGACAACTCATCCCATCTGGCTCTGAACATGACGAAGAGCGGAATCAGTTTAAGCGCAGGCTGATAAGAAACCTACTCAATGATCGCGAATAGCGGTGGGTAGCGAAAACAAGAGATGGAAAAGGCAGCGACAATAGGTAACAGCAGACAACTGTTCATACTTGTCAAGAAAACCGGTAACAGGAACCCGACTGTTAGCGAAAAGATCTCGGAAAAAGATGGACATATTATTCATTCAATCTAGGAGATTAGATTGATAGGCAGAACACTTTAGGGATAAGTTCATCTGGCCTTCAGCCACACTTCGGTTTCCCACGATCTCCAGTCAACGTAAATGGCAAGTTAATGTAGGTCCTCCGACTCTTTACGAAATTAAAAAAGCTATAGGTAATCTGAAGCGAGGGAGAGCGACAGGCCCTGACAGGTTTACTCCTGAGATTTTTAAGGATAGTGGTCCTGTATTAGCAGTGAGATTGATTGAGGTCTTAGGTAGAATCTGGGAACTGGACGTAATTCCATCTGACTGGTCTCAATCACTGATTGTGCCAGTCTATAGAAAAAGACAAAAGTCCTCTTGTGACAATCACAGAGGAATCAGTTTGACTAATATAGTGTCTAAAATATTAGCTTCAATAATACTTCGACGCCTAACCAAAGCTCGTGAAGAGCAGACTAGAGAAAACCAGGCTGGTTTTCGACCTGGACGTGGTTGTATAGATCAGATATTCACACTACGTCAGGTTCTAGAACACAGACACACATTCAGACGCCCCACAATGGTAGTATTTCTCGACCTTAAGGCGGCATTCGACTCTGTTGATCGTGAGGTTCTATGGCAGTGTTTGTCACTGAAAGGAGTACCAAAGAAGTACATTAACCTTATAAAGGCTCTCTACTCGAACACAACTGGTCAAGTGAGAGCTTATGGCGAACTGTCATCAGAATTGATTACCTCAAGTGGTGTTCGTCAGGGCTGTCCACTCTCCCCATTCTTGTTCAACTTTGTGGTCGACGTACTTTTAGAGATAACACTCTCCTCATCTAAATTTACAGGGGTTGAACTTCTACCGGGAGGTTCACTTGTTGACTTAGAATATGCAGATGACATAGTTTTATTTGGTGAAGACGCTGACAAAATGCAGAGTCTTCTGACCACTCTAAGCAACAATGCAAGCATGTTCGGGATGCGATTCTCTCCCTCGAAATGCAAAATGTTGCTTCAGGATTGGGTTACATCGACACCCGAACTAGTGATAGGGAGTGAAGTAGTTGAGTGTGTCGACCGCTTCACTTATCTTGGAAGTCTCATCAGCCCTTGTGGTTTAGTGTGTGACGAAATCTCAGCACGGATACAGAAGGCTCGACTAGCTTTTGCCAACTTGCGTCATTTATGGCGTAGGCGAGATATCCGTCTATCAACCAAAGGACGTGTTTACTGCGCAGCAGTTCGTTCCGTCCTACTTTATGGCAGTGAAACATGGCCGGTAAGAGTAGAGGATATTCGTAGGTTACTAGTATTTGATCATAGGTGTCTTCGAAACATTGCTCGTATATCATGGGACCATCGAGTAAGTAACGTAGTTGTTAGGAAACGGGTACTAGGTAAGGATGGCAAATCAATTGATGAAGTAGTGAAACTTCATCAGTTGAGATGGCTGGGACACGTGTTACGTATGCCCAACGACCGACTGCCTCGACGTGCTATGTTCAGTGGTATAGGAGTAGGTTGGAAGAAAGCTAGGGGCGGCCAAACCAAAACATGGCACAAGTCCATGAAGTCACTGACAAGAGGACTGAGTCATGTTGGTAGGTGTAGACTACCTGGTTGGGGACCGCGAGATGATAGCAACCGATGGTTAGAGACCCTGAATGACATGGCTCAAAATCGTTTGCAATGGCGCAGGTGCATCCACTCTCTGTGTTCTCCCAAATTCTAATCTTCTGAATTCTTCATGTCCCTTTTTTCCTCTTTCCAAATTTATTTCACTGTATTATACTCTTTAAATAACATCTCCAAACCCTAATCTTCCCGATTACTGCTTATACTCTTATTACCTCTACCACTACGGGATTTGAATCGACAACTGCATCTCTGTGCTAATGTGGAATGGCAACTCGAACTGATGTACGTACGTACGAAGTTCTACATTGTCTATTGACTGACTGACGAAGGTACAATTAACGCCGAGTATATTCCCTTAACCGTCCGACTTAAAATACTGAATGTCACCAATAGGTGGAATCCCTATGAAATGAGTTTCCAAGTTCCAGGTGTATTTGAAGACACATTTGTATTCTTGGCAATTTTCTTAAAGGTAAATAACGTGATCCGTTTATAAACCCAGAAAATACTTCAGTCCTTGCAAAGTGCCGAAAATACTCTTACCGGTCGATGTGCTTTATTAAGATGTGTGAAAATTCTCTGAAACAACTCGTGTGCTAAATCTGATCGTACAGATGTGAAGTTTGTGAGTTCTATTATCTTTTCAGGAGACTTCCAGGACTTCAACGTGTTTTATTTTGTATTTATCGTTGTTTATGAAAAAACGATAAAATAATTAACAGAATATTATTTATTTTTTTATGGTAACCAACGGTTATAAGGCTGAATTATATGGAATTACTACGTTTCCAATTTCAGAAAGTTACTGTTTGAAAAATCATAATAATTATAAATGTTCTGGTATCACTAATAGATCGCAGTCATCCTAATTTATTATCAGTGGCTTTATTTAATATTATATGTTTAGTACAATATGGAATTCTGAGAACATAGTATTTCAACAAGTTTCTTTTACAAAACTAAAGAGATCGATATCTGCATGTGCATTCGTTGAGTAAATAAACTATCTGGAATTGAATGAAATGTTCCCTAACAAGATAAGAATATGTACAACTTTCATTTAGCATCATGTTTAAGAATATATTTCATTGACTAGCTCAGCTCTTATAGCCTGTTCGTCGCCTAGTATATTTGCTAGATGAGGTATCGTAAAGCTTTTACACCTTTGCTCGAGTGCATGGATTCTAATATATTTCCGTCTCGTTCCACTATAATAAATACAGGGAAAAAGATATGAATGAAAAGGATGGTTACTATTTGATCGTATCACAGTTACCAGGAATTTGAAAGATTTTAATTGTCCATCCTTAATCGTATTCATAATCAGTTGATAAGAATCACCACACACCATGCTGGCTGTCTTCAGTATTCCCCACAAAACAGCAAAATCGTTTCTCAAAATCGGAGAAAAGAATAATGGAAAACGGTAAAAAATAATAGTTAATACACAAGAGTTAGCAAATCACCAAACAAACAACTTTCTTCGATATCAGCAAACCACGAGAAGACCAAAAGAGATTAACGGGAAAACTTACACTAAGATAAATAACCTTCGACGTTGTTTTCAGTACAGAATCTCGATTAGTCTCAGTTTAAAATTAACATTTCGACATCTAGGGGAATTAAGTTTGAGATATTTAACAACAGTCATCGTTCAATGAGTGACAAGAACTCATTCTTATTAAAGTGATGTGATGAGTCAGAAATCTATAAGTCAACCCTAACACACTAATAACTATTTTTAGTATTATTTCTTCAAATCTATAAATGGAACTCTAAACTTGTATTTTCTTGTTTCGTTTTTTCCTATTTTCAGGGTTAGTTTGAAAGCTGAATACGATATACGATCTGTATTGGAAACAGTTACAAATGATTTATTAAGCGTTACTTTCCATGCACCTATAGAATGGCCAGCCTCAGCTATTCTTCTCAATGTACTCAGTAGTCTTTTAATCCAACAACTTAATCTAACAAATCAAAACGCCAATATTTCGACAAATCCTACTACTTCACGTTCTCGTAATACTGAGTTATGTGGTAAACTTCTAGCTGTTGATACCCTTGCGTCATTGATTGTTGGTCTAAAACGTGGAGCTAAGGTATATAGCCTAGATTTACCATCCTCATTATTCATTCAAAATAAAAATCATTCTGACTTGGAGGACGGTAAAGATAATTGCATGAAAACGAATAAATGTCAAACACGTTTAATTGGTTTATTATCATCTCCAATCCCAATAATTCACCACTGGTATTTTTCGTTCTATGATATCCTTCAAATGAGTAATAAAAACGATGACTCTAATTTTACAGAAGTTTGTGAACGATTAAATTTGGATAAAAATATGATTTATTTGCCAGATCTTTGTTCGAAATACTACGATTTTCTTCTTCTGGTAAGTTTATTTTGCCTTTCAGATTATTCCTCAACATTCTATTCTTCACGATAAAATCGGAGAGAAATGTATTTGTCATTTTAAATATTAGTGATTGTTAAACAGTATTGACAAAGATTTATCTGGCTTACGATTCTATCTGCTTCTTTTATATAAGTAGCACAAAGTGAATTTTAGTAAACAGAATGTCTCAGTTCGTGGGTTAATAAGTGACATCTTAATTTATGTATCAGTACTTTAAACGATCTACAACATGCTACCACTCATACTGCAATTACGGCACACCTACAATGGCTAAGCTAGCATGTGGTTCGATTCGAGTTTCTTCCTTGTACTTCGATACGTTCATCTGGGTAGTAATATCCTCATTTAGAGGAAAACAATGGCGATGTTGTAAAAGTTTCCATATTATTGATTCGAAGTATGCCTGCTTTAGTTCGAAACCTAGTAGTAGTGATTCGTTGAAAGTAGCAAAGCCATTACGTCATGGTGGGAGTAACTGCTGTTGTTAATTAACTGTTTGGATTGAAGTCTTTTTAATATATTGATTATTGTTTATGCTAGTCGCTCAACCTGCTTTGATATTAGATAATGTTACGGCAGTAAATCCTTTGATAAATATAATTGTTTTTACAAGATAGTTTCATTAATTTTATGTGCAGATATGCCATATAGTACTAAGGTTTAGGTTATATGGAGCGGGGCTTAGTGGTTAAGATGTCCGACTTCTGCCTCTCCTATTTCTGTTTTCTTAGCCGGGTAATACGATTTGCTCTCACATTTAGAGCGTGGTTCATGCCGAAGTACCTGACGACTAGGTTTTTAAATGGTTTAAAATCTTGATATCAAAATTAAATAGAGCGTTTCAGTGTATTTTGATGCTGCAAATATAATGCTGACACTTGCCTATTTGTAGACTGCTCACAGATTTCATCTTGCTGCATGGCTTCATAATTGTAACAGAAACGTCCCGGTCACAAATTTAGACATCCCTACCGGGAGTGCGAAAGATTATTCCTCCAATTCTACGAAAAACAAAGCTTGTGTGGAAAAACTTCGGCATCAATTACTAGCTGAACTTTCTCTCACACATTTAAACTCGTCAGTATCTGGACTTGGTTTTCCGTTTGCTAAGCAAAACATATCATCACTCTCTGCAGCTTGTATGGGATGCCCTAATTCTTCGCAGCATTTGTCTTCACGAAGTCGTGCAAACTGTATATGTTGTTCGGGCATGGGGTGGGGAGGTTCATTTCTAGCTCAGTCCATGTCATCCCAACGTTTTATCACATATACTCACATGCCAAAATTATGCAGTAACATGCGATTTCGTCTAGTTGCCCATGCTCATATTTCTGCGGTTTATCTCCTTGGCGCCCATGCGGTTTTGCCGAATTTCGACGTGCTGTACGGTTTCATTTGTAAAGTAAGTATAAGTATATAAAAGTATAAATTCAGAGTAGCTTTTGCCTACCGTTTTTCATCTTAGAAGTGTACGAAAGTTTGATTTTGATGCATTTGAATTAGCTATTATATTGCATAAGTTCCATCTGATAAACTGGTAGTTTCTCCGATAACTCTTAATCAAATTTAACCACCTATAGACTAATTCGTATCCTAACCGCCATCTTAATCTTTTTTACTTTATCCATGTACTTAGTCACTGTCATCGTGTTATTTGATCAATGTGCGTGAAAACTGCCCTCATTATCTTCGTGGTTAGTTAATTAAATAATAGTATGGAATATCCCCTTAATTGTTGAAAAACTTAATTTTCAATTACCAGTTTGGGAGTTGAACTCTGGCCTCACGTAACTCGTTTAAGCAACTGAGTAGTATCATCATTCTTCGTGCAACAGTGCATGACTCCAAGCCTAGGTATACCTAGGTAATGAATTAATTGTAGATCGTTAATTCAGCAAAAACCCATCTTATTAATTAATTTAACTTTTGACGGTTCTATAAAGAGTTCAGGTTACCGTGATTTTGTTATTAAATATTAATTCTTTCTTTAAAAGATAACCTCAATGAAATTTTCCCAGTTCATTATTTCCTAAATACAGTTCGATTTTGATTGCTTTCAGTTTACTAAATTTGTTATATTCCCAATATCGCTACTCTTACAGTAAAATGTGTAAGAGATGTTTTTGAAAGTCAACGTTTAAGGAAAATAATCACTGAGTAGTCGACATTGGTAGTTCATTTTACGTTCATCTGATGCACAACTTGCTTTGGTATTTGTGCAATAACTGGCCTTTAAACTGAATGTGTGGCCTAATGTCCCTCTATAGTGGACCTTCCCGTTTTTCTGAACGCCCAATCTTCTGTTAAGGTAACATTTAACCTTTGTGCTCACATATTTCATTAAGCTTTTAATCGATTATGACATTTGCATTAAAATTAGAAAATTGAAGACAGTTGAATATCATGACTGAACTCGGAAATGTAGAACGTCAAGTTTCAATAGGATTATAGTTCTACCCGCGAGATCCGACGATCCTGTGGTTGTTGCTGTACGCCATAGAAATCTTAAACCGGGACAATATAACAAACTCGTTCTATGTATTTTTTAAAGTTTCTTCTGTTGACTTCGGTTCTTGATAAAAATTGTTTCAAAATATCTAACGTTTAATAGTGAACTTCTTATTCGATGCACTTTAAAGATATTGTTATGTTGATTTTTAATTTTGATTGGATTATTCTTTATTGTATGGATGTGGTGGCTAGTTCTGTTATGCTAAAATATTTTTACGAAACTTAAAAAGTTTAAGTTTCTCTTCATTTCTTAGTGTGCTGCATATAATTTTCCACTTTTAGTTAGCCGGGGAGTCATCAGTACCTATGCGGTCGAAAGCGTTGCGTTGTCTTGCTTTAGTTATTGATGCTGATCCGAAGTTGATGTCTATAAATCAAGATACTAAAAATAAAAGCACGATTTCATCGAGTCCGATTTTCGATATCTCCAACATTGTTCGCGCACGTTTATTGGACAACTCCACAGCCGTTCGCGAAGCAGCTGTCGACTTGATCAGTCGATATTTGACATCGCGTCCACAATCCTTAGCCGAATACTACTCTGTTATTGTGGAACGTGTCCTTGGACAAGGTGTCAGTGTAAGAAAACGAGTTATTCGGTGCTTTCGAGATCTACTACTTAACGATTGGAATAAATTTTTAGATTCTTCAAATTCTGGTTCTGATGGACACAATTCCTCTTTGATTGGAAATCAGATGTGTACAGATATTTGTCTGAAACTTATTCGCCGACTTCACGATGAAAACAGCATTCAAGTATGTCTCTTATTCCGTATATATATACCTCAATTACCTTTTTTGTAACATAATATTCGCCAACTATGGTTTTATACATAAGGCTATAAGTAACATCTTCCATGTAAATTTAAGTGATACTACCGTATTTACTAAAACTGAAGTACTTTAGGTGGGATTCAAATCCGCAACTCAGTCGTTAAAACGTGAGTGCTCTAACTACAAAACAACTACTTCGTTGTTGGATGCAAATAAATGAAATGAAGTCATTAATCAAATGCTCCACTGATTTGTCCGTAGTTGGACGATTAGATGGATTAGTATTTCAACTACTGTAATATTTTCGAAGGTTTTTTAATCTCTCCCTATAAGTGCTTTATTTCATGTAATCGCTCAACTAATCATCACTCAGTGGAGTAATTTATTGTTATTTCACTACATACATTCGCCTCTAGATTTATTCTCTCACAAAATGGCCTAAAATATTTTTCCTAAAATGCTTTTATTCTCTGCTAATGTTCTGTTAATTTTCTTTTCTTTTTTAAAGAAATTGATTACTGAAGCCTTCCAAGAACTATGGCTGACTCCAATATCGAAATCACATTCTCGTTTCTCAAAGGTTCTTGATAGGCGTATCATAAGTTTAGCATCAGTGACTGTTACTCTTAGACCGAATAACTTTGACCTATTGAACACGTTCATTGTTCAAGTAAGTATGAATCATATTTGAAATAGTTACAATTCCATCCCGCCTTGTAGAAATCAGTTACGTCTCTTATTACCATAGAAAATACTCTAAGAACTTTCTGTTTCCATTTAGGATCTATCTTCAGGGGAACCACATCCTTCAGGGTCTCAGTTTGATGCTGCGTGCAAGCAAATTATTGGCCGTCTGATTGTTTTAATAAAACGACGTATTGGTAAGCTTGATTGCGTCATATATATATATATATATATATATATATATATATATATATATATATATATATATATGTGTGTTTGCAGTGGTCTCATATATTATAGTTTACGAATTCTTGCTTCCCATTTTTGTACTTTCATAACACTAATAAATGATAATGTATCCTGTTTGTATACTCGCTAATGAATGATGAATTTGGTTATAGACTCATGCATTTAGTTTGGTCAACTTTGAAGTATTGATATGTGTGCAACTAATATGATATGTGATTACCGATCGAAATATTGAACAAAGTCTCAGTTACCCTGTAATAATAATAATGGAAATCACCATGTTGCCTATCTGCTTACATTGTTTGGTAATATACTTCTTTGGTTCAACTCCATAACCTTTGTACGAAAAGATCAAACTCTAAAAGAAACTTTAATCAGTGAAACATCTCGGTAATCCGTTTTACAAACTGTTCTCGCAAAAAGTTGCATACGTAAATATCATATATTTCAAGCGACAAATGACAAGTGATATTTTAATATTAGATCTGGTCCTATAGCTTAATAAATTTAGTTGTCATAATCTTTGGTTTATTTGATATACTTTCTCAATATATTGTTATTACCATTCTAATTAATTGGGATTTTTCAATTGTTTAAGACATTTTAGCTTTTCCTCAGTGTCAAGAGTAAGTTATTTAGCTTATGTAGTACTTTCATAAAAAATGATTGTGAAATTTCGACCATGAAAGTGGAACAGAAGATACTATTTTAAAAGTATTTAGTCAGAACTGCATAACAAATGATAAATATTCACGTACAGGTTGTGTATTCGCAAGCGTAATCAGTTATCTATTGGAAACTCTCTTTACGCTCTTGCATAATGGAGAGCAGTAACAGTAAATTCTTCCAGAAGAATTATCATTACAGTGTGTAGTCACAAGGAAAGTGTCACTCACTCAAATACACTTCTAGCATCATTGTACCTAGTCTTATTCATTGTGAACTAAAAGTTAATTGACATCATGTAAATATAAGCCTGTCCTTTTGGCTTTATTAGCTGTTTGTGTACGTTATCGTCATAGTTGCTTTTCGCTTGTAACTAATTGAAATATCGTAATATGCCTTAACCTTTTATTTCTCATTCACGCTTTGCGACCTAACTGCTTCATATACAGCCACTGCTCCAACTGGAGAAATATAAGAAGGCAGGGCCATAATAAACAAATTTTGCACTTCCAAAATTTTTGTAATGAGTTACCCCAGTAACAAAATCAGTTGTCTACTTGTGTCATAGGCAAGATCAATACATTATCAACATTTTTTGGCCTACCTACGGTAACATTGTCTGTTCACTCAATTGTATATACAACCATTGTTAGCTCACAGGAACCCCCCCCCATTCCTAATCCGTCAATAAAAAAATTCTGAAAAATCACACAAATACCTCTCATTTTAGACCATCAACGCACATGGTTTTATATTTAGCTTACCTGAGTATAACACCGAAAATTATGAATTTTAAAAAGTGATTTTCAAAAATCCACACATAAGTGAAATAACTAATTTATTAACAGCAAGATATATAGCAATAATTAATACGTTAAGCGTTAGCTTCCAATCGCGGATATATAAAATCTCATGAAACAGTAAAAAAAATCATAGAAAAAAATATATGATTTCCTTTCTCCGCCTTTTCACAATACACCGGATGCTTTCTGGTCCGTATTGTACTGAAGAGGTTTTGTAAATGACTCAGTAAAAAGAAAATTTACGTCCATTTTTAGGACTTTAATTGATTTAATATTGTACATACTTACTTGTTTACCATGGCTGGCTATTGTAGGTCCTTTACTGGTCCCAAGTTCTAAACAACTGATAAAGCAAAGTCACTCAATGGAATCTCGGAAATCGTCACAGTCGCTTTCTTTTCTGTCGAATATGCATGGTCTTATGGCTTGTTTACATCTGGTTAGTTATAGTAAACCTAATCTTGTTCGCCCCTACGTTGTTTTTTAATGGATCTTGTGCATAAAATATGTTTATCTGTTCCTGGAACACTGACTGGCACTGGACAAGCGGAAAATCAAATGAAACCAACAAATACGCAGTTCCTTTATCACTTGATCAATGTTGTGGAAATTGTACTCACAGAAATAGCAAGCAATTTAAGTGAGTCAGATAGTCCTCCTATGGAAGAAGCTATGTTTGCCGGCGTTCCGTAAGTTTTCGTTTGGTTTTTGTGTTTGATCTGTATTACGTAGATTTACACAAGCACTTTTTGTTCTATATTGTGAAAGTCAGATGTTCATGTAAGAATACAAACGAAATGGCAGGTCTTAAGTTATGACCAAACTGAGAATATCTAAGGAGAACAGAACAGATTTTTCCTCTGAATTATACTAATGAAGAAGCTGTAGTGTTCTGTGAGCTGAATTGATGAAGAATACAATACATCCAACTTCCTTACATTGAGATAAAGATATTCTCGGTCATCTCATGAATAAGATTTCGTCATTTTTTGATATCTGTTAATTTGAAAAAATACGATCAATAGTGGTTCAGTTGAGAGTGAAATTTGTTATTCCAAGGAAAATCACTATTCCTACCTATTTCTGTTATTGCTAGATAGTATATCAGTAATCCTTTGTCATGTATTGCAATCTAATAAACCTAACTCTTTTAGAGCTACATAAGTTAGATGAGGTTATACTATCAGTCTTTTTGGATCTTCGTATTTGCTTGATTTTTGTATGGATACGTCAGCTGCAAACATCAAGTGTTATTAAAATTAAATGTTGTAATTTTACTACTTCTTTTATATTTGCCTTGATATGAGCATATATTGAGTACGTTAACTTGATATTTCTTAAAGAATTATGCTACTCTGAATAACGTCTGTGTAAACCGATTTCGTGTATTTATTCGGTGCTAAGCTTTATGTTCACAGTATTGTTGTTTTATGCCTACGTTTATCATCGTCGACGTAAATATCGGAATAAATGTTCAATAGATCGCAGCATAAAAAGATAAAACTTATTAAATAAATAGCAAAAGAGTCAAATTAGTATTAGCATCCGTGTGTGCTGTTCATATTAAGGGATTCGAAGCAGTATTAGCATTTATATTCTGACAATGATCAGAAACCTATGCAAACAGTGAAATCATGAAATGTAAATGTGTTAGACATGTATTCAGATTACCAAGAAGGCTACTGGGGGAAGGCTCCCGGTGAACTCAAGGAAGCTCTAGAAGGGCCGAAGACATTCCATACAATCACCGTGTAGCTCTCCGATTGGACAAATGCTAAAAACCACTGCATGCTGATTGGATGATTGTAATGATTTCGTTTTTACTAAAAGCTATAGATACCTGAGTGTTTTGTACCATATTTGACTGGTTCGAATAGGATTCCTTTCCATTTTTCTTCTGTCTTCTAACTTGCGATTTGGAGGGTTCAAGCGTTTGAGTTCTCAAATTGTACGCGGCATAGCAGAAATTCAAGTTCCAGATGTGGCAGCCACCATCCAATGTAATAACTTATTGAATTGCGATAGAAGTAAATTAAAAGTTATGAGAATGGGTAGAAAGTGGATTGAGTTAAGTATGAATATTTAGTCTGAATATATTCAGATTAAAGTACTTATTTTAGAAAACATTTAAAAAATGTTCGCTTGTGAAGGGTTTGGTGTTTACGAGCTCTGTTTTAGTGTCGAACGACCTTGAGGGCTAATATTTTGGCACTGTTGGGCATACACATTCCTCTATGGTTACCACTCGAGGATTCCTGTGCGTTTCTAAGAATCGGGATGATCAGTGATGTAGATCAATCACATGATTTTTCCAACTTCTCAAAGAGTCTTTGATCTTTTGTCTGTCACCATTTTAGGTTGTTTCGGAATATCGAGTGACCGGAGAGTAACTGGAGACCAGTAAAACTGCTCTTGATTTTTCCATATCTTGCTGTCGTTCCTGACGATCATCATTGTGTACACATTTTATCATTCTACTTTTAAAATGTTTCTGATCCTCATTGTTTTCAAGGTCTGCTTGCATGAGTTTCTTAGCACCTATCAAATCAGTAAAAGTTTCTAAAGTCTATCGATATTTCTTAACCTTCCGGTTTAAGTTGTTGATTGATATTAGTGCTGTGTTTGCAGCTGTTTTTATAATATTACAAGCTACCTCTTTATTATCGGCTAAGTGATTGTCTGTTTCTTCCTAAACCTTTTTGCATTCTGACTAAGCTCTAAACCATCCTCATATTGTGACTTCTGCGTTCAGTAAAATTCATGGAATTGCTTGCTTTCGCTATAACACTAATGGGGTCCAAGGAGTATGTCTCCAGAAGGAGTGACAATCTTCTGATGGGACTCCGAAGGTGGCTGAAAGCGATATGGTGTGTTGATGTTGATATTTACTAAATAAGACAATGTCCTTCATGATTAAGGTTAATATTTATTATAGGTAAACAGCCTGTCCGAGGATAATTGTAGCTTGCATTCACTAATATCTGTTTTCCGAACTGAAACACCACATCAATCTAGCTATTGCTTAAACTGGATTATCTAACTTACTTGGGTTTTAAAATCATGTACTATGATAACTTTGTCTGAGATCCTGTATTTTTGAAGGAATCCGAAGAATTTCTTGTAAAACCTGCGTTTCGCCCCACTGAACTGCAGTCGGTGGAAGTGTACTCATTAATGGCTAAAAAGCAGACAACACGGTGTATCTCCGTCTGGATTTTGATTAGTTAGGATTCAAGTGTCTGTTGACAGGAATTTATTCCATATGTGTTTCTTATACTTTAGAGTTAATGCTTAACTTCTTCTAATCTCTCTTCCGTATGAGAAGGCAAAAACGCTCAAAATACTTTTTATATGTTATTTGATTAAAGAAATATTTTATATACACTTTTGTAACGAAATGGTGCTAAATGTAATAATTATTTGTAAGCTGTTTTTAGCCCTGCAAATATCCATATGGTCAGTCATAGTGTATCTTTATTTAAATGTTTTTCCTAGACGTACTAACTTCTTTCAGTTACAAATGATTTACTTCAGTTTGTTCAACGTCAAGGTCGTTTGGTTGTTGATTCAGCTTTATCGTGTTTAGCAGTGCTCGTTAATCAAGTTTTAAAAGACCAAACTCAAGTTATATGTTGCTTCACACAATTCTATGGTATGTATTTTACATAAATATCTACTTTTCGAATAGTTGTTTTTTTACTTCTATACAACATTCTAGTTGTTACTAGAATGTATACTATAAATAGAAGTTACCTTTTATCTCATTGACACAACGTCATTTCATTCTCCTGTGATGAAATATCTTTTGATTATTGAAATGACTTATAAATAAAACGTATTTGTTGTTTTCACATATTTTATATTTATCTCAAACTTGAACTCGTTGTAAGGTAGGATATATATAATTCCTGTTTAGTTAGTATTATAGTGTTATTAATCAAACTATGCATGCAAAATAGTTGTCAAATTGTTGAGCACTTCGAGGAATCGTATGTAATATGATTTCTTTAATTACTCTTCATTTAAAAGGTATTGAATATGCACCATATCTAACCAATTGGGACCACTTGTACTATCTCCTGTTGTAGGAAGTCTGTAATCAACGTGGCCATATGGCCATTACATTGGTTTAAACTACTTACGTAGTAAACCACATTTCATTCTTTTCAATCATTCTCAGGCTTGATATGCTACGTATTTATAAAATTAAAAGTTTGAGTTTATTTTTTTCATTTTTTACTTCAAGGAGTCATTTTCGATTTGTATCTCTCAGTAGTTTTCCACCTGTATATAATATGATTAAATCATGATTACTACAAATAGACATATAGTAGGGTAATAAACATTCATTTTTACCTAGTTTTACTGCTTTAATCTTCGATATGCAATCTGAATTTTAAAATTTTTCATTTATCACCGCATCAAATCACACATCTATGTTCAATGATTATTTACTTATTTCTTTTTAGGCCTCCTTACGGACCTTTCATTAGAATTACGAGAGGCTCTTTCAACTAAGATAAGTACTTCTGCTCGAATATCATCCAAAACTCGACCATCAATATTGCGGGCATTGTACACTGTCGGTTTGATATGTAAATACTTCACACTGGATTATTCATTTCACAGAAATAAGAAATCGGTGAGAGTTCGTTGTTTTGTCTGAATCATTCTGAAAGTTATTTGATTATCATGTTCTATTAACTACTATTTTATTTTTTATATTTTTATTTTATTCAAATAAAGGGTATGTCTAATTCAAACCTACTGGATGAAGTTGTGGATATACTTATGTTGTTTGCGGAATATGCATCCGTTCGTATACATGTACAAAGCAGCACCACATTTCCAATCCCAGTAGCTCTACGAACGATCTTAACAATGATGGTGTTAATCCGTCTCATATGAAGTCTGATATGATTGATCCAGATTTATGTCGTAAAGCTATTACTGGTTTAGGATTTTTATTATTTCGTCATGATCAACTTTTCTGTACTGGTTCTGTACAATTGTTTTTAACTCGATTTCTTTCAACTGTTCAAAATTCTTTAACCAATAATCACCCAACTGATGGATCCTCATTTTTTGAGATTCAGTGTATTATACTTGACAATTTAACACATTATTTATTGCAGAAGGAGCGTAAAGCAACTGCAGATAATCGCTTGTGTAAGTTGTTGCTATTGATAGCCTTTAAAAATTATTAATGTAATAAGTCCCTTTTAACTGATATTTGTTAAACTCGTGCTGTCTAAATTTAATTCAAAAAGAAAATTCAAACCTTCTTACGAACGACCTCAAGTTACCTTAGGAAAACAAAGTTTTAATCTATTACCCGTGTTACCCTCATAATACATAAAATTCACAACTATTTTTCTACATACGGATTTGAAGACTACTGATCCATCAATAATAGTAATTGTGACTAATCTTTTCTTTTATTCTCTCCCTCTTCTATATGTCTTATTATCTGAAGATTATTTTTGCTCTGGTTATATGAACCTTGTTTCTTCTTAAATCTTCAATGATAATATAAAATTCATCATTACAGTCTAAGTTACCTACTAAAGATATATATTATGATTATTGCTGTATAAGGCTAAATGAAATGAAATTTAGAATGCACGTCTCATCCTATTTTGTTCTCGTCAGTTTTGTATACCTCCACCCCAGTTTTCTAATCCATCATCTATCTTTTCAAACAGCAACACGTCTACTGATCTATCACGTCGTAGTATCCACTAACTTTTCAAGGGTTATGACAGATATTTTCGTGTTATTTAAGACTGCATTCGATATTGCTCTATTACTATATGGACTCTCTATGCCTCTACCCGTAGCCGCAAGTTGATTATATTTTGAATAGTGGTTAGTTAGGAGTACATCCTTCTGATGAGACCCCACTGTGATAAATAAAAAATACCACAAACACAGGCATATTTGTGCACTCTTCTAATTTTTACATTCTTTATGTATGTATCTTAGTGTTCACATTTCTGATTATGATATTTTAAGCTCTGTAGGAAATATACTAATTACCTCTACCTAAGATTTATATTTTCCCACTTAATGATTGAAATATTGATGCCAATTTATCTTATAAATATCTTGGAGTAATTTTAAGTTTGGTTATGAAGTCGATCTATGAGATCAACAGTTTTTGACGTTAGTCTGTTTCCCATTTCTTATCCAGGGGCTACACGTTCCAAGCGTGAATCTCTCAAAGAACTAACTGATCAAATAACTGGTCACAGCAGTGCAGTTGCCCAAACCTATTTGCCCATAGTTTTGAAATATTGTATTCTCACCCCGTCTATTAGTGTTCGCTCTTCAGCCTTAAGCCTAATATCAACTATATTACGTCAAGGATTAATTCATCCATCTCACGTTTTGTCTTCCCTGATTTGTTTGCAAACTGATTCAGACCCAAGTATTCGTTCTCGTGCTTCAGTTTGTCTTACAGAAGCTGAACAAAAAATTCCCGGATTCGCCGCAGTAAGTTTATTTTAAATTATTTTTATTATGTTTGATGTTCATGGCTTTAAAATCAATTGAAATGTTGATTGCTTTCATACTACCAGTTCATTTGCAATAATAATACAAAGTTCTAGATTACCTAGATATTAGATCTTATTTTACAGTTCCGTACCTACATTTAATGGGGGGAAATTTAAATAAACTTCTTACATTTTATTGCTTCTATACAAAGTATTCAGTAGGCTAACGTCACTGAATACATATATTTGGTTGCTTAGTCAACATCAAAGATAGTTGACATCTATGGATTATTTTTTCTAGATTTGTATGAAATCTTATTGGATATAGACAAATGTTATGTTATATGCTACTTCAAGGATTGTATATCGTACTTGCTGTTATCAGGACCAAGAAAATTTGAAACTTACAAGTACTCACTATACGAAAAGAATCAGTGGTTGATCACTGAATTACTCCTTATCTAAAGTTTACTCTGGTGGCTAATAAAACATTTGTAATTTGTGTTTTAATCCATGTTTACTGACGAAGTTTCTTGAACTAATAAGTAAATTTCTTCACCACTAATTGTCCTATAACTAATTACGGCATTGTTATCATGTATATTAGGTAAACGAAGACTAAACTGGAATAAGTCAGGAAACTAATAATAATAACTGGAATAATAGCGGATTTTAAGCCATTTAATCAAAGCTCCGTTCATTTTATTTTGAATACAGAACTCATGGAGTCCTTGGATATTTGTGTTCTAAAATGTCTGCATGTTAATTTAAATATGTTTATCAGTATATAGGAAATATAGTAGGTTAGTTTATTTCCTGTCTATATTTTGTCAGCGAATTTTACTTCATGGGTTCTGAGGGTGTAGTTTGTGCGGTGTATTTTTTCAAAATAAATAAGTTCCCTAAATATTTACCAAAATTTAAAAAAACCTATTTGTCATTGTTTTAGATGATAAACTTCAGCCTACTTACAATTCAAAAGAGATTTATGCATTACCCTTGACTTTTTTCATAGATGCGAGCTGTCTCTGGAATTCGCATGTCACATCAGTTGCAATTAATTATACACACTAATGAGTTTTCTTCACTCATAGTTCGCGGAGCTAAAGATTCTAAAACCGCTTCTGAAAGTAAATCACTTTCACCGACAAATAATTCTACATCTACAGTATTTTGTATAAATTATGGACTGTACACCATGTTGAGAACTAATCGACAATATCGTCGATCGTTAATTGTTAACTTGTTATCTATATTTGATGAATACCAGGTAAGATAATCAAGATTTTGACGTTTTTGTATTCTGTAAGCTTCTTACTGCACTTAACTATATGACACAGTCTCCAGTGTTACGTTTGAAGGCATTCCCCACTTGAATAAAATGCCTTATAGTAAAATTCTTTCATTTTATGGTATTTTCATTTAGATCCAACTAACTTGTATTACGAATGAGAATGACGTCATTTAATACAGGCATAAATCTATTGTCTTTTAATATTTGTTGACGTTAAGTATAGTTATCACCATAAGCTATAAATCTTCCCTATTACTACAATCAGCATGATTTTTAATAAATATAAGGGTTTAGGTAGCGAAGGTTTGACTAATATGGTGTCTAAAATATTAGCTTCAATAATACTAGGTAAGGATGGCAAATCAATTGATGAAGTAGTGAAACTTCATCAGTTGAGATGGCTGGGACATGTGTTACGTATTCCAACCACCAATTGCCTCGACGTGCGATGTTTTCTGGTGTAGGAGTAGGTTGGAAGAAAGCTAGGGGCGGCCAGACCAAAACATGGCACAAGTCCATGAAGTCACTGACAAGAGGACTGCGTCATGTTGGTAGGTGTAGACTACCTGGTTGGGATCTGCGAGACGATAGCAACCGATGGTTAGAGACGACCTTAAATGACATGGTTCAAAATCGTTTGCAATGGCGCAGGTGCATCCACTCTTCGTGTCCTCCCAAATTCTAATCTTCTGAATTCTTCATGTCCCTTTTTTCCTCTTTCCAAATTTATTTCACTGTATTATACTCCTTGAATAACATCTTCAAACCCTAGTCTTTCTGATTACTGCTTATACTCTTACTACCTCTACCACTACGGGATTTGGATCGACAACTGCATCTCTGTGCTAATGTGGAATGGCAACTCGAACTGATGTACGTACGTACGAAGTTCTACGTTGTTACTGACTGACTGACTGAGGTTGCGAAGGTTTGTATAATTTGTAAACGCTTTCGAACTCAATAAAGCGATTTAAAGGATATTCTCTAAGTTTACGACGCATAAGCTTAATACAACAATACTTCAGTTCCTTTTAACACACGCGATAAAAAGACCAAGACTGATATTATACAAGGAAGGTTTCGTTGTTTCTGGAAGTACCATTATTAGTGTGCATTCCCGAACACATCCGTAACAAGCTTAATGGAACTTATCATTCAGCGTATAAATACTGCTGTTTGCTTTATATTTCTATATTCCTTTCGTCCTATTAATTTACAGAAATCATCACTTCACACCACTGAAAATGAGAGTATTCAAAGTCGGTTAAGTCAGTTGATTTTCATCGCAGATCACTTGGCACACTTTCCATATGTAGTTCTTGATGAAGTTTACTACGTTGCTGACCTAATAGAACAAAGAATAAGCCTCATAGGATCTACTATTTTAAGATCCTTATACCGAAGTTTGTTATCTGCTGCTCAAAACAAATGCTCAAATTCAGAAGTCTGTCAGTTATCCAGATCTTCAATGAACAATGATCGAAAATTCACTAGTGAAACTGACCTCATGGATTTCCTTGATAAGTGTGAAGCAAATTTACCTAGAGAATATGACTTCAACACTTCCTATAAATATATGGAAACCATGAAAGCTCTTGATAATCAAATTTCATTTAGTTCATCTGAGAAAGACCTACAAAACATGTTCAAACACTGTCAGTCAGATTCTTTAAAAGGAAAGGCACGATCATCTATGGTATACGCAGGACCATCGTGTCTACTCCTTATGACTATCAGAAAGTTTATACGTGAATACTATAATGTAACTTACAGGTAAATTTTATTTTCATATATGCTTCATACTGTATTAAATGTGACCAGCAAAATATTAATTTTGTACTAAGGTAAGGTATTATAGAATAATTTGTGAGTTTATTATTATTGTAAAATTTATGTCCTATGAATAGGACTAAAACGTAGGTGTGTTGTCATTCATACTAAGAAACAAAAAGCGAATTAATTCTACTATAGTAAGTTATAATGTATGCGTTTTTTTATTTTGTATTAGAATCGACTAACAATTTGATTGCTCATTGCTCAAACAAGGGTACATCTTAAAACTCTGCTAAATAAAAATGTTATGTAGAGTACCGTAGATTTATAGCCTTTAACATGTTCTACAGATAATTATATTTTTTTTAATAAATATTCACTGTAACGGTTTCAGTAAACTGAAAGATTACTCACCTTCTGATACATCGAAACTTTGGGAGAAACCAATTATATTAACAAAACAATCAAGTTGTTCTGGCCAGCTCATGACATTATCGTGCATAGTTTACCAGTACGTTTTGAACCCTGGGTGGAGCGATGTATCTAAAGGCCCTCCAGATCATATCCTTTTACGCCATTTTCTTGTACTGCGGCGAGAATTAATGCTTCATGAAGACAGTTCATTAAATGAGCAGTCGGTAAAGGGTACTTCTAAGCCTAATGTTCAAATTTCTGACATTGAAAATGACATAAAAGGTAAGTTCTAAATCAGCATCAGTTTTTCCTATGATTATTTGTTATTCTGTTCCACATTACAACTGTATACAGCAGTTTAGTCGATCCTCATTTTACTCTTTCAGTATTATAGTGGCAACTCGGCCTCTAGCTCTTCTGGAAGTACAGTAATTCCAAAGCCCGGGTAAAGTAGGAGGGCTGGGCATGGGGTCGGAAACACCATCCCGTAGATAACAATCTTTCTAAAATAACGCTAACCAGATTAAACAAATCAAACCATTCAAACTGTACCCTGGGGGTTGAAGGAATAATTATGACGCCTCAGGATGAAGGCCGAGATTCTTCTGAAGTCACGAGGCCGATGCCCCTTCTAACAACCAGAGCAACAATTTTCATAGGTACATGGAACGTCCGGACAATTTGAGAGGTCGTGAGGACCAGTCAAATAACAACGGAAATAAGGAGATACAAATTGGCAGTACTTGGAATTAGCGAAACCCATTGAACTCAAGCTGCACAGCAAAGGCTAGATACGGGAGAGATGCTGCTGTACTCCGGTCACGAAGAGGAAAATGCTCCACACACTCAGGGAATTGCTCTAATGCTGTCCAAAGAAGCACGAAATGCACTTGTAGGATGGGAATCTCACGGATCCAGAATCATCAAAGCATCATTCAAGACAAATAATGAGGGGATCACAATGAATGTTATCCGATCTTACGCACCCACCAATGATAGTAACGACGACAATAAAGATCAGTTCTATGAGAGGCTGCAATCAATCACAGCGAAGTATTCAGGAAATAAACTGACCAACCTAATGGTAGACCGAAACGTCAAGGTCAGGATGGACAACACCCAATAAGAAGATGTCATGAGACGACATGAACTGGGAGAGAGAAACGAGAATGGTGACAGATTTTCAAATCTACGTGTATTCAACAACTTGGCTATAAGTGTCACAATATTCTCACACAAACGCATACACAAATCTTCATGGGTCTCACCGGATCATACCATGGAGAACCATATAGACCATATTTACATCACTATAAAATTCAGAAGGTCAATGAAAGGCGTGTGAACAAGGATGATTACTATTGCCCTTTCTTTTCCTTCTGATAGTTGGCTGGATTATGAAGACCTACATATCTCAGAGAAAGCACGGCTTACAATGGACAGCTTGTATGCAACCAGACGATTTGAACTTCACATATGACCTGGCCCTTCTATCCCATACACAAAAGCAACTGCAGGTGAAAACACACAGTGTATCAGAAGCCTCTGCAGCAGTAGGCCTCAACATACACAAGAAATAAAGAAAGATCCTGAAATCCAACACAGAACACCAACCCAATCTCACTTTATGGAGAAGCTCTGGAAGATGTAGAATCTCTCACGTACCTGGACAGAATCGTCGATAAAGAAGGGGGATCTGATGCATGTGTGCGGGCACGCATTGGCAAAGCAAGGACAGCATTCCTACAATTGAAGAACATATGGAACTCAAAACAACTGTCAACCAATATCGAAGTCAGAATCTTCAATACGAACGTCGAGACAGTTCTACTGTATGGAGCTGAAACGTGGAGAACAACTACAATCATCGACAAAAATATACAAGTATTTATAAACAGTTTTCTACGCAAGATATTCAATGTCCGTTGGCCTGACACCACAGCGACAGCCTACAGCAGGAGGGGACCCTGTAGGCAAAGGGAAAAGTGGAAGGTCGAAGAACACACTGCGCAGAGAATTGGAGACAGAAATCAAAACAATGAATCGCAACTGGAAAGGATTGCCTAGGGCAGGGTTAGTTGATGAGTGATTGTCAGCGGCCTGTGCTCCTTCTTGAGAGGTAACAGGCGTAAGTAAGTGAGTATTATAGTGACGGTTTATTTTATCAGCGTCTGTTCCATGGTATTCATAATTAAAGACGTAACCACTCAGCGAAATAAGTGCCATTGTAACTTTCAGTTTTAAAAATATCTGTGTTGTTGGTTCTGGATCACTAATCATAACAGTTACTGTTTTACCCGTTTTTTCATGATGTCGAGCTAAATATATTTACTGCACTTGCGTTTGAAAATAGCTTATATTCTGCAGAGTTTGCCACAAAAGTAGATTCAAATTCAACATGCAACAGAACTATACGTTCAGTTTTTCTCATATTTATTCCTTATTATATCATTTCCTTCATTACTTATAGCTTCCATATGATTTTTACTGCATACATAGTCGATTGATCGTAACTTTTTCCCATGACGACAAGTAGTCTAACATCCATCAGTAATGTAAGATATATAACTATTCTAGTGTTACGTTTACTAGCGCTGTTATCACCGATAGGGTTTCTTCCAATGAGATGCTTGTTATTTATTTTGGTCATTCCTTCGTCTGTATCTCAGGGGATTTACATTATACTGCCAGTTGCATTTAGAATTGTCGGTGACGCAGCACATTTACAAAACATTGTACGAAACTGTGTATTTCAAACCTCTTGAATCCATAAGAGATTCTCACTAATAAAACTCTACGGACTTTTTTCTATATCTAAAGGTGTAAAAATAGTTTCCTACAAATTATTTCGCCAAACGGTTACTTCATTCTATTATGTTACTGATTTTTACCATTTCATAAGATTCTTCATTTTCCCACATATATTTGCCCTCTCAGTCAGTCAACAATTGAATACTGTATTTTACAGAAGATTGTCAGGCGGAAGTGGAAAGTGGAGAATGCTCTACAACCTTATGCAATCCGTCAACTATATCCAAACGTAGCAAGTCAAATTCTGCGGAATGTTTACCATCTGTTAAACATAGTCTTGATAGCTCTTTTAATCAGACAATTGGGAAATCTGGTAAGCAGCTTGGAAAACATAAAATTGTAAAACGACAGTCTTCAAAATCATCTTTATCAGATCCTTCCATTGAGGCCGTAGGCGACACTGGGACAAAAAATAAAGAAAAACATTCGGTTGACTTACAATCTCAATGTTTAATTTCAAGGTCCATCAAAAAGCATAGACGGCTATCAGAACATTCCAGCTATTCTACCAGCTCTGATTCAGTCGAGTTAAATAATCTTAGAAAGTCACAGAAAATTGGTAGTTCACGTGGTCACCAATCTCTATTGCAGTCAAGTCCAGATTCGCCGGTAAATATTATTTTACAACAGTATTTCCGCCTTTACATTTGTTATGCAATTTATTGCTGTTTTAGCTAGGTTTACATTACTATGTTATTATACTGCATTAAATTTCCTATAATTTCATCTTATTTTTCGCAGTTATTCGTTTACATTATTCATGGTTTCATTTACTCTATCTCAAGATATGAGATGTTAACATCTTAGTTTCTATGTTGATCTACATATTCTGAAAACTCTTTTAAAACGATTAATTGTTCTATGTTAAAGATGTTTGATACATTTTTGTATTTATTTTAATTTGCGGCTATTTACGTTACGCAAACACAGTATTATTCAGTACATTCTGAAATCCGGTGTTTAGTTTACTAGTATCTCTAAATGTCCTTCACTTTTTGATGTCGTGTTTTGTCACTGGTGTACTTAAAACTGCTTTCCTATACAGCGAAACCATTATGTTAACCTCAAGTACTAGTTTTTCAGTTCATTGAGGGGTTAATTCAAATCACCAATCGGTCATGATAAAGTAAATACATTCATTCATGAATATCTCGTTAATATGCCGAAAAATTAATATTTCATTTTAGCTTTGATTTCTTCGAAAATAAAGAATCATATAATTGATATTACACGTCATAATTATAACGGAGGAAAATTTGTATGATATGTATTCAATGCCATCGGTTGCATGAACGAAATGTGACTAAGTGACAATTACTCACAAATTCGAATTGTTGATGCAAGGTCCACAATGAAGAGATATCAGAATAATCTGTCAGTAAAACATTTGAGTCGTATGTAAAAAAATTCACACAAAATATTTCACCCGATTTAAATGTTATGAAAATATGAAAGGCTGATTGATTACGTGATTCATTTTTTTTTAGATCGTTTAATGACCTATGATATTAAGACCTGATTATCTTGCTTAATTATGACTGCCTATCATAACTTAAATATCTGTAACAAAATATCTTATCTTCTCTGTAAAATAACATTCCTCCAATTGTTTTCCTCTTTGTAGAATAAACCTAGTTTTCAAAATCAAGCTCACCATACGCATTTCGAATCGTTAGATTCTGATGCCAACTCAGAAACTAACTCTGTGGATAGTTGTGTTAGAAAGAGTAATAAGATAGCTATGATTTCAAAAGTAAAACAACCTAGTGTTTCGAATTATGCTAATCAAACAAAAAAACAATCAACTTCTCAATCTTATATGCAAAAAAATACTAAAACGAAAAAATCCAACTTTCAAAATTTGGGAGTTATTGGTCATGCTAAATCTCTTTCTCATCAGTGTCGTTCGACTAATTCAAAGCAGTCTACAGGTCCAACTCGCACTCTTGCTCCACTACCGTCTGCTATGATGAATAGTACAAATACATCTCGTCCGGGGAAGCATTCCATTACGAATAGGAAAACTAAGCACGATTCTAAACGTTCGGAATTCTCCAGTAAATATGAAATGAAACATGTATCACATCACTTTGCTTCAGGTGGTAATCATCACACTTCGCGAGTGAAAAATTCGAAATCTAAGTCATTACCTTCCAAAACCAGTCATTCAAATGAAAGTCAAACTCACAAGCCACATTCGGAAGAACAACGAACAAGTAAAAAACACTTGTCTGAATGCCAGAGTTTCAAAATGCGTCAAATTAATTCAGCAACCAAGGAGAATTCCATTAGAAACGGCCAAAAGGTATATAATCTTTTATTCACGTTATTTTGTACAAACGCATTTCTCATTTTATCCAATTGTATGTTTTTTTCCGTAATTTAGCTAACGGTTTGACTTCTAAGCATGATATTTTAAACGTCCATATTTCATATACTGTTTTTTTTTTCATTTTGTTGGTCCTCGTCTAATTAACAAGCATTTTATAGCCTCTTTTGTTGATCGTGTACATTTAATTATTTCTCCGTGAAGTGTAGATATTAGGCGTACTTACTACCATAACTCTCAGTAATCACACTTCTGTATACTCTTGGTCGGACATGAATTTTGTGGTTCAGTTATTGAAATATTCAAATCTACATCAGTAGTTTGATCCACGTTCTATTACGTAGTTCGACCATTTAATTAGTTTTATCAGTCATCCCAACATAGACATCAGTCGAATTCGTTTAATTGAACTACATGGTACTTTTCACTTACTATTCCTTCGACGTCACAGAAATAATGATATTTTTCTTCTTGTCACACTTGTCACGCTTATATTAATCGTAATACAGTGCGTATCGTATTTTTTGGCGTATCTTATTCTTATTTTCAGCTGGAAATCCTATCCAATTGTGATAAAAGTGAAGAACAACTATCCGATTCTAGTGAATCCTCCTTGTCATCCACTTCTACATCATTGTCTTCATCGTCAACATCATCATCAGAAGATAGTATGTCCTCTTTTTCCTCGTCGTCATCCTCGACTCTCCAGTCTAGATTAAAGCAAAAAAAGAAAACAAAGCTCACTTGATGCTTTCCTTGTTTGTTTTTTATGAAACATTAAAGAAACAATTCGGAGGTCCAAATCTCTCAACACTTAAAGTAACATTTTAGGGCTGTTTTATTATTGTTGTTCTTTGCCAACCAAACCTTACGTTTTTATTGCGATTTTATTTAATGCTTGTTTCTGTTCATTATTATTCTCTAGCAAATAGTATTTTTACACAGAGGAAAGGTTAACAAACGCACCCTACATTCAAATGCATTCCTTTTAAAGCGCCTTTGCTTTACTATTACCTATGAACAAATCGGGTTATCTCCATAATGTTGATATTGATTTAAATAGGTGTAGTTACGCAAAAATATCTGATTTTTGTGTATCATCCATAGTTTTTTATACTATTGTTGTATAGTGCTGTCAATTTTCAGCTTTATTTATCAACACATATTTTGTTTTCATCTCCTTAAATGTTTTTAAAGATTCTGTATTGTGTGTAATATATTGAGTTATGCTTGTATGTGTACTTGCTGCCTTTTGTTCAGCCATGTTACAATCTTGGAAATAAGAGGCCATACTTATAACCTTTATATGAACATGAATCTATCGACCTACTACATCGTCCAACTAGTTGCTTCTGAGCTCATGTATGTCTTTTTTCTACAGATTCGGATACTTTCTGAGCATACCTATCCCTTTCAAAATTCCTATTTTTAAAATACAATACTTCGATTGTTTCCCTTGCATTCGTTCTAATATATTCGTTAATATTCCACTTACAAACTAATTTTTTTCAATTCCGCAACAGTTACTGTCCCAATATTATTTTTACATTTCTTGTTTCTTTGGTTGGTTGATTATACCAATAACAATCAAGATAACGATTTTGTAATTTTTTGATTCACTTCTTTCATTTCATTGTTTGATTTTTTCCTGGTTTGTTTGTTGCTTTCCAGTTGATCATACTTTATTTGCGTTGCCCATGTTATCTGTTGTTGTTTGTTTAACGTATTCGAATGTTTCGAAATATTAGTCACCAGTAGTAGCTGAAGGAGATATATATATGCTAAAATATTGTTAACTTCAAATTACCACCGTCAATATTAATTCTTGCTATGATTATCTCAGTTTAATTTGTACAGGTTGAATCGCACTCTCGATTTACACATCTCAATAATCAAAACGTCAGAAAATAAAGCAATCAAGTTCATATAAATTATTAATTTTATGAAGTATTTAATTCCGATCATTGTTTATCTTTACATATCCCATTTTGCTCTATCAAATGTGTATTCATTTCAAACAATTTATGTCCTAAAACTTCGGTTAACGACAGTTGAGAATCAACCAGTATTGTACACAAAAAACATTTGGTGCACTAAAAAACGCTTCAGAAAGATGATTACACTGTGAAACATTAGAAAAAAAAACATATTAACAAGTAAATTTTTTTAGACAAAAACACTACTCATCTATACTTCATAATGAAAAATACAAATCAGCTAAAACTCATTTGGCTAAGAACAGCATACTCTTTATATGAGTAATGTAAGGAACAACGATAGGATCGCCACTGGGCAATACTCTAACCGCAACCTTGTACACATTTAATTGCAGTACGGCCTATATGAATGTATACTTGAAATTCGGAAGTAAATTGTCAAGTAGGGTCGCTGTGCGGAACGTTGGTATTTGTGAGAAATAGATTATTTGCATAATTGAAGCAGACAATTCCTAATATTCAACCTGCAACCAACAAGTCACTATTCGTCATTCAAACTCCTCCCTCATGTCTCTAGTTGACTGGATTGTCTAACTCTCCCAGCTGTCGGGTCACTATTTTTGAGGCACGTTTTGTTGATACGTTTCTTCATTCTAAAACAGTATTGCTCATTTACTGCATACGAACAACAGTCGAGGCGTAGGTAGAGATAACGAAAAGGGATCGCTCTCCACGCTGTTTACTTTCGCTTAATCTCAACAGAGTATAAAAGAAGTGTAAAGGGATAACTTGTCAATGGGTTCTTTCTCAGCTTTGGTACTTAGTGCTATATCGATCGCAGGATCTAATGCTAAGTAGAACAAACATTTTTAATTATCTGTATGGAGCTGTAGTACTTCACTAGATTATCAAATATGTACATATGATAACTAGGAGTATTCGAAATAATGTGCTCCAGAGAATTCCCAAAATAGTGCAATTTAAGGTAGAAACGTATTATATTTTGAGTTGGTAGTGGTTATCACGTTCACCTCACGCGAAAGGTCCTTGGTTCGAACCCAGGCTAAGATGCGGTGACCACAAATGCCCTGGTACGGCCGAGAATGGGGAGAGTCCGCTCACCCTCTCGAAATGCTCTCACATGCTCACGCGTATATAGCCTCTGCCAGTGAATTACTACTCACTGCCCGACCGTTGTTGCTACCTTGACGTGGTGGTCGGGCTTGCCTATCGTGATGAAGCAACCGAGCTATACTGGCTGGAACAACCGTTCCTCAAGGTCCTACCATGTCAGACAGGTCGGTTGAAGAGCGGTAAGACTAAAAGCAACAAACCCAAGGTCCGAAGGCGAAGTCGTACTGCTGACTGTACAGAGGTGTGACAGCAGTAAGGTGTTTCCTTCAGACAACCAGCATGACAGCGATGCTGCCTTCCCACAAGGAGGGGTGGGGTTAGAAAAGGTCGACCCTAAAAATGCACACCTCGCCTTATCCCACGGATATCCGTCTCCGGCGGTAAGGTCTCAATAAGTACGGAGCTAACACAAAAATTACCCATAACAAGGTCGTGTGTGACCGACCTCAAGCAGTTGTCCCTTGGGCACTGCGGTCACGCTCTCAGGTCACTAAGACCACTTCTAATCCAATTTCCTTTTCAGGTACCTCCAGAACAACCCTTCCACGGTGTGGGCAACCGGGAAGTGATAACCGCCCTCATACTTCTAACAGCACTCAAGACCACTGTATTCATAATCAACCTCCTCTTCAATTCCTATTATTCCTCCTACATCGACTTTCAACTCTAAATTTCCCCTCTCGGCTTCCACCTCAAGTGTCACCATAGCCAACGATTCTAGTGCGCAAAACACTGTCCCAGGTCTACTGAAACCTCGCTCCAAACTACACATTGGAGCCTTCAACGTACGCACCCTATGTCAAATCGGTCAGCAGGCTTCCTTGGCTAAAACCCTAGAGTCTCTTTCCATTGATGTGTGCTGTGTCTCCGAAACACGCATACAGGATTCCAGTGTGGTCATTCACTTGACCTCACCTCGGCAAACGGAGAGCCAACGAGATACACCCTTCGTGTATCTGGTGACCCGATGGCAAGTTCTCGTGGACTGGCAGGTGTAGGCATAGCACTAAGCATGAGGGCCGAACAAGCACTGCTAGAGTGGATCCCCGTCAACAGTCGTCTATGTGCTGTTCGGCTGAACGGCTACGTAAGAACTCGGAAGGATAGGGACACACGTCGTTGCCTTTTTGTCGTTTCTGCCTACGCTCCCACTGACTGCAGCTCAGATGAAGTGAAAGATGAATTTTACAGAAAGCTGTCCGAACTTCTTCAGAAAGCTAAACGCTCAGACATAGTACTCGTAGCAGGTGATTTTAATGCTCAGATAGGCAGTTTAAACCAAACAGAAAGGCATTTAGGTGGATATTTTAGTATTCCGACACAGCGAACAGATAATGGTGATCGTCTGCTGCAGCTATGCTCAGACAATCGTTTATTTTTAGCAAACACAAATTTTAAGCATAAGGAGAGACATCGTCTAACATGGCGACCCCCTACACCAAACCAACGATGGACTCAAATAGACCATATTGCCATCAGTCATCGTTGGAGAGGGTCGGTAGAAGATTGTCGCTCATTCTGGAGTACCTGCTTGGACTCCGACCATGCCCTAATACGGGCACGCATCTGCTTGCGCCTCACTGGACGCAAAAAAGCCACATTAAAAAGACCCGTTAGAACTGAGTTGAGTAACGAGAAAACCAAAAGTAGGTTCCAGGAACAACTGAGGTCACACTTAGGTAGTTGTGAAGACGAGGCTGACCCAGATGTTGCTTGGAAGGGCATACAATCAGCTGTGGAAACAGCAGTGACATCTATTAGTGACTTAAACCACAGAGTTACAAGGAACCAGTGGATTTCTTCAAGGTCTGTCACACTGATGGATTCTCGCAAACTCGTCCCATCAGGTTCTGAACATGATGAAGAGCGAAAACAAATCAGATCTAGGTTAAGAAAAAGTCTAAGGAACGACCGTGAGCAGTGGTGGGTAACGAAAGCAAAAGAGATGGAAAAGGCGGCGACTATAGGGAACACAAGACAGCTTTACAGACTAATAAAAGAAACTGGAATTAATAAGTCAAGTGTAAGTGAGATTATTTCGGAAAAAGATGATACTCTCATCTGCTCCCAGTCCAGACGTTTAGAACGATGGGCGGAACATTTTAGAGAACAGTTCAGCTGGCCTTCAGCTACTCTACAACTACCCTCCATTCCCAGACAGTGTGAATGGAACATTGAAGTAGGTCCCCCAACTCTTGCTGAAGTTGAGAAGGCTATAGTTAATCTGAAACGAGGAAGGGCAGATGGATTGGCTCCAGAGGTCTTTAAGGATGGTGGTCCAATTTTAGCGATTAGGTTGACTAATATTTTAGCTAAGATCTGGGAATTAGACGTTATCCCATCTGACTGGTCGCAATCACTTATCGTCCCAATATATAAGAAAGGGTCAAAATCATCCTGTGACAACCACAGAGGGATTAGTTTAACAAACATAGTATCTAAAATACTGGCCTCGATAATTATCACGCGCCTAACTAAGACTCGTGAACTACAAACACGAGAGAACCAAGCTGGCTTTAGACCTGGTCGTGGCTGCATCGACCACATATTCACCATTCGTCAGGTTCTAGAACACAGGCATACTTATCGGCGTCCGACGATGGTGGTCTTTCTTGACTTAAAAGCAGCATTTGACTCTGTAGACCGCGAGATTCTGTGGCAGTGTCTGTCATTGAAA